GAATCCGGAGTAAAGCCTCTGTGGAGCAGAGGAATCCGAAGTAAAACCTCTATGGAGCAGAGGAATCCGGAGTAAAACCTCTATGGAGCAGAGGAATCCGGAGTAAAACCTCTATGGAGCAGAGGAATCCGAAGTAAAACCTCTATGGAGCAGAGGAATCCGAAGTAAAACCTCTATGGAGCAGAGGAATCTGGAGTAAAACCTCTATGGTGCAGAGGAATCCGGAGTAAAACCTCTATGGAGCAGAGGAATCCGAAGTAAAACCTCTATGGTGCAGAGGAATCCGGAGTAAAACCTCTATGGAGCAGAGGAATCCGGAGTAAAACCTCTATGGAGCAGAGGAATCCGAAGTAAAACCTCTATGGAGCAGAGGAATCCGAAGTAAAACCTCTACGGAGCAGAGGAATCCGGAGTAAAACCTCTATGAAGCAGAGGAAGCAGAGGAATCCGAAGTAAAACCTCTATGGAGCAGAGGAATCCGGAGTAAAACCTCTATGGAGCAGAGGAATCCGGAGTAAAACCTCTATGGAGCAGAGGAATCCGAAGTAAAACCTCTATGGTGCAGAGGAATCCGAAGTAAAACCTCTATGGAGCAGAGGAATCTGGAGTAAAACCTCTATGGTGCAGAGGAATCCGGAGTAAAACCTCTATGGAGCAGAGGAATCCGAAGTAAAACCTCTATGGTGCAGAGGAATCCGGAGTAAAACCTCTATGGAGCAGAGGAATCCGGAGTAAACCCTCTATGGAGCAGAGGAATCCGAAGTAAAACCTCTATGGAGCAGAGGAATCCGAAGTAAAACCTCTACGGAGCAGAGGAATCCGGAGTAAAACCTCTATGAAGCAGAGGAATCCGGAGTAAAACCTCTATGGAGCAGAGGAATCCGAATTAAAACCTCTATGGAGCAGAGGAATCCGGAGTAAAACCTCTTTGGAGCAGAGGAATCCGAAGTAAAACCTCTATGGAGCAGAGGAATCCGGAGTAAAACCTCTATGGAGCAGAGGAATCCGGAGGAATCCGAAGTAAAACCTCTATGGTGCAGAGGAATCCGAGGTAAAACCTCTATGGAGCAGAGGAATCCGGAGTAAAACCTCTATGGAGCAGAGGAATCCGAAGTAAAACCTCTATGGAGCAGAGGAATCCGAAGTAAAACCTCTATGGAGCAGAGGAATCCGAAGTAAAACCTCTATGGAGCAGAGGAATCCGGAGTAAAACCTCTATGGAGCAGAGGAATCCGAAGTAAAACCTCTATGGAGCAGAGGAATCCGAAGTAAAACCTCTATGGAGCAGAGGAATCCGGAGTAAAACCTCTATGGAGCAGAGGAATCCGAAGTAAAACCTCTATGGAGCAGAGGAATCCGGAGTAAAACCTCTATGGAGCCGAGGAATCCGAAGTAAAACCTCTATGGAGCAGAGGAATCCGAAGTAAAACCTCTATGGAGCAGAGGAATCCGAAGTAAAACCTCTATGGAGCAGAGGAATCCGAAGTAAAACCTCTATGGAGCAGAGGAATCCGAAGTAAAACCTCTATGGAGCAGAGGAATCCGGAGTAAAACCTCTATGGAGCCGAGGAATCCGGAGTAAAACCTCTATGGAGCAGAGGAATCCAAAGTAAAACCTCTATGGAGCAGAGGAATCCGAAGTAAAACCTCTACGGAGCAGAGGAATCCGGAGTAAAACCTCTATGAAGCAGAGGAAGCAGAGGAATCCGAAATATAACCTCTATGGAGCAGAGGAATCCGGAGTAAAACCTCTATGGAGCAGAGGAATCCGAAGTAAAACCTCTATGGAGCAGAGGAATCCGAAGTAAAACCTCTACGGAGCAGAGGAATCCGGAGTAAAACCTCTATGAAGCAGAGGAAGCAGAGGAATCCGAAGTAAAACCTCTATGGAGCAGAGGAATCCGAAGTAAAACCTCTATGGAGCAGAGGAATCCGAAGTAAAACCTCTATGGAGCAGAGGAATCCGGAGTAAAACCTCTATGGAGCCGAGGAATCCGGAGTAAAACCTCTATGGAGCAGAGGAATCCGAAGTAAAACCTCTATGGAGCAGAGGAATCCGAAGTAAAACCTCTATGGAGCAGAGGAATCCGAAGTAAAACCTCTATGGAGCAGAGGAATCCGAAGTAAAACCTCTATGGAGCAGAGGAATCTGGAGTAAAACCTCTATGGAGCAGAGGAATCTGAAATAAAACCTCTATGGAGCAGAGGAATCCGAAGTAAAACCTCTACGGAGCAGAGGAATCCGGAGTAAAACCTCTATGGAGCAGAGGAATCCGAAGTAAAACCTCTACGGAGCAGAGGAATCCGGAGTAAAACCTCTATGAAGCAGAGGAAGCAGAGGAATCCGAAGTAAAACCTCTATGGAGCAGAGGAATCCGAAGTAAAACCTCTATGGAGCAGAGGAATCCGAAGTAAAACCTCTATGGAGCAGAGGAATCCGAAGTAAAACCTCTTTGGAGCAGAGGAATCCGAAGTAAAACCTCTATGGAGCAGAGGAATCCGGAGTAAAACCTCTATGGAGCCGAGGAATCCGGAGTAAAACCTCTATGGAGCAGAGGAATCCGAAGTAAAACCTCTATGGAGCAGAGGAATCCGAAGTAAAACCTCTACGGAGCAGAGGAATCCGGAGTAAAACCTCTATGGAGCAGAGGAATCCGAAGTAAAACCTCTACGGAGCAGAGGAATCCGGAGTAAAACCTCTATGAAGCAGAGGAAGCAGAGGAATCCGAAGTAAAACCTCTATGGAGCAGAGGAATCCGAAGTAAAACCTCTATGGAGCAGAGGAATCCGGAGTAAAACCTCTATGGAGCAGAGGAATCCGGAGTAAAGCCTCTGTGGGGCAGAGGAATCCGGAGTAAAGCCTCTATGGAGCAGAGGAATCCGGAGTAAAACCTCTATGAAGCAGAGGAAGCAGAGGAATCCGAAGTAAAACCTCTACGGAGCAGAGGAATCCGAAGTAAAACCTCTATGGAGCAGAGGAATCCGGAGGAATCCGAAGTAAAACCTCTATGGAGCAGAGGAATCCGGAGTAAAACCTCTATGGAGCAGAGGAATCCGAAGTAAAACCTCTATGGAGCAGAGGAATCCGGAGTAAAACCTCTACGGAGCAGAGGAATCCGGAGTAAAACCTCTATGAAGCAGAGGAAGCAGAGGAATCCGAAGTAAAACCTCTATGGAGCAGAGGAATCCGGAGGAATCCGAAGTAAAACCTCTATGGAGCAGAGAGATCCGAAGTAAAACCTCTATGGAGCAGAGGAATCCGGAGTAAAACCTTTATGGAGCAGAGGAATCCGGAGTAAAACCTCTATGGAGCAGAGGAATCCGGAGTAAAAACTCCTCACAGAACTCATTACAGAAAGCAACCCTAACATAGGGGAGCATAACCCTGCTTAAAACCCCAATAATAATGAGAACAGAAGTGCCCAGATAACTCTCATTCATCCAAGTCTTACTTTCGAGCACTACTCTCAGCACATCCAGCCAAATCTGCTTTACAGCATGCAAGAGCATGGTTTGTTTTTAATTCACCCATAGCTTACCTTCTGCTCGCTAAGATAGAGGCCATTAAAGCAACCCAACCACAGGGGAGCGTAACACCCTACTTATACCCCAATTATTGGGGAGGGAGACAGAATGAGAAATGGGGATGGTATGTGACCTGCCCCAAATAATTGCCATTCATCAGCTCTGCACCCTGGGAAAAGCATAAAGATACTCAGTGGCTATTTTTGGGACATAAATAAACCAGCTGCATACAGAAACTCCATTATCTCGACACCCCAGTGGAAAAATAGGAAAAATAAAAGTCTCACAGCCAGGAAGTGGAGGCGGATTAAAAATAACACCCGCCTTAACTCGAAATAATTCACTCTATTTTTAGAGCAAGCTTACAGATCCAAAAATTGGATTTGAGAGCAATGAAGCTATCAGGAGAAGCCCAAAAGGAAAAAACTCCCGTTAGACTCCTCCCCAAGCTCCGCCGAAAATCCTCTCGGTCGATCCCGCCTGAGCTTCCTACTGCAAATGCATCGATATATGAGTGCATCCGACTCCCTCGAGAGCCGCACGTGCTCTGTGCACATGCTAGATTCTCAAGCAAGAACAGAGCTTCTTACCACAAATGCATCTCTATGAGCTCAACCAACTCCCTACACACTCTGTCCAAACACTGGATTATTTCCCTCGAGAGAGAGAGAATCAAGCAAGGACAAAAGCTCTTACCGCGAATGCATCACAATGAGCGCAGCTCCAGCTCCCTTGAGAGTCGAACGTGCTCCGTCTGGTCTCTTGCAGACAAAAAATCTGGTGACGTCCAATGCAGACACCCTTTCATACGCAGGGGGCTCTGTTGGGTGGTTTTTATATTGCCTTCAGCCAATCAAGATTGGCGTGTTTTACACGTGCTTCAGACGCGTTCCCATAGCGTGAACACTGTGATGCAGTGTTGAGTTCCCTGAGAGGGAACCGAGGTTATACCAAGTAAGTAAGCTTCTGTTTATCAATGTTTATATGTGAATAAAATCCTAAATTAAATCTGTTCATCATAACATCCCTGTCCCTTCAGAAGACTTTAATTATTCAACCATTCGATTCATATGGATTACTTTTACGGTGTCTTTATAAAGTTTTTGAAGCTTGACTTTTTTTCTTTTTTTTTTGCATGAACTTTCAATTGAGGAGAATGTTAAAAATATATTTGTGCTCCAAAGAAAGATGAACAAAAGTCTTATGGGTTTGGAACGACAACAATGAGGGGGAGTAAATGATGAGTTTTTAGTTTTGAGTGAAAGATCCCTTTAATCTCTAACATGTCTCGTGTCGTGTTGATAAGGACTGGGGCTGGGCAGTATGATGCTATGTACTGTAGAAATACATCAGCCACTAGTGATTGTGCTGTACTATTAATGCCATACTTTATCTGTATTTTTTATTTTTTTAAACCATCACCAAATGATGGGAAGTGTTGGTAATAAATGTTTCTTAGTCTATTTTTTCTCCAGATGTTCGTTCAGAACCCTGTTTCCTAACCTACGATGAGGACGTGTGTACGCTGCCGGTGCCAGGCCGGTTCCGTATGGATATGTGTTGCTGTACGGTGGGTTTGGCCTGGGGCAACGATTGTGACCCATGCCCTGAGCCTGGCACACGGCGGTTTGAGGCTCTGTGCCCAAGAGGACCGGGCTTCGCCAACAAAGGCGACATGCTCACCGGCAGAGCTGTCTATAAAGGTCAAATACATATATTTGCTCTTGAGTAGTTAGCTCTCACTGTTATGTCTATTCTTATAAAGTTCCTATATGCTGTTTAAAGTTCATGTCGTTTAAATAATGAAGTTTATGATATTCCCTTTTTGTCAGAAATAAATGAGTGTAAAGTTTTCCAAAGCATCTGTATTCATGGGAAATGCCGGAACACCATTGGAAGCTTCAGATGTCGTTGCGACAGTGGGTTTGCACTGGATACCAATGAGCAAAACTGCACAGGTGATACTGAGTGTCGGTGAAGACTCAAAATGCCAATCGTTTTCATCAGAAAAGTTTGACTGGAGAAATTTTTTAATGTTTTTCCTGAGTTGCATTCTTCAAAAAATGGTGTGCGGTCTTAAATGACCCAATGATATAAACTGGTGTATATGAATATATTTATAAATTGAATAATACATTTTCAGATGAATGTTGTGCTACCCTTTGAGTTTCTTTACATGCATTCTGAAAAGGATAAAGCATTTAATGTGTTTCTCTACAAGATCTGTGTGTGTATGTGTGTGTGAATTTTCACAGATATTGACGAGTGCAAGATCTCTCCTGATGTGTGTGGTCATGGCACGTGTGTGAACACACTGGGCAGTTTCCAATGCGACTGTTTCCCCGGCTACGAGAGTGGATTTATGATGATGAAGAACTGCATGGGTGAGTGATAGTATGCCTCTTTACTTCCCATTATCATAACATATGATCATAACATGACTTTTTTGTATTTGTTAATATACTGCTTGAGGTTCACATATATTCGTTTTTGGCATAAAGAAAAGCAAAAAAAGTTGTATATTTGCAAAACACGATTATTTTCCACCATCATTCTCTGTCAGAAACACTGTTTTGGTTCTCTGTTTAAAACCCTATAAAGCTACTGTATTTGTCATATTTCATACACTAATTTCTAAGGCTTCTAAATGATCAAGATGATCAAAACTTTGCTGGAAACCCTGTTGCACACAATCTACTTAATGCCTTCTGTCATCTGATTGATAGTTTAGATGTTTTTTAGCAAGTAAAATGCCTTTTAGTGTAATTGTAACCTTCAGGTTGTAGTTCACATATCTTTTTAATGTGGATTTTTTATGATTTTTTGTAAATGTAAGAATAACTTTTATATTGTTAGTAATATTTGATGACAAGATGAAAGCGTACTGGACTGAAGTAACGTAGGATTACTTGATTGTCCATGTTTAGGAAAATCATGTTCAAATGTCCGTGTCAAATATGATGCAACAGGATGTTGTTAATCTCTCAATCATCATTCTGTTGCATTGCATTATATGTTTTGGCCCCCACAATAAACACTACAGAGCTTTGATAATATAACTAAGCATTTAAATATCATCTCTTTGTCCTTATAAATCTGCACCAAATTGCATATTTTTGTTCAGTTTGGGCCTATATGAGGTAATTTAGAGCTTTTTCCTCTTGTGTATGAGCTCAATATTCTCACTATATATAAATGAATCATGCTAAATGAGCTATAAAAGCCTGATGGATAAAATATGATACTTAACGAAAAACAAAAACAATAATTCTTCCATAGTCTAATAGTCTTAAAACAGTTGTATATTTGCAAAGATCATTTTTTTCATCCTCATTTTGACCCTTTGTGAGAAACGCTCAGTTTTGGTCTATAAAACCATATAAAGCTACTTTATCATATTTGATAAGCAAATTTCTAAGGCCTTTAAATCATCAACATGATTGCTGAAAAAAACTTCTTGTGGACAGTCTACTACAGTACATGTCTTCTGTCGTCTGATTGATAGATACTTTTATAGCAAGAACAAGTCCATATTCTCCTATATCATCCTACAACAATAAACGCCTGTTGTAGCAATTATGATACTCAACAAAAAAAACCATATGCTTTTTTTTATTTATTTTTATGTATTCATATTTTGTCTAAAGGTCCTGTACAATGTGCAGGAAATAAAAAGTGAGTTGTTTTTGCAGCTTAGACTGAGAGTGTGTGTGTGCTTGTGATGCTGTAGATGTTGATGAGTGTGAAAGAAACCCCTCACTGTGCAATGGAGGCACCTGTGAAAACACTGATGGCAGCTACAAGTGTGTGTGTCCACCGGGTCATCGTCTGTCTGTGGACGGCAGTGCCTGTGAAGGTGAGAACTATATCATTATCATATTTCTATGTGCTGTATCTCACTCTCTTTTTTATCAGTAGAATAATGCACATAGCTATTTACCACTTCTCAGCTCGATTATATTGATTATCGTACATTGATCACTTCTTAAATTTCACTGTTATGAACTAAATATATATTTCGTTTTGGTCTGCTTGTTCTGACGGATGTGTTTGTCTGCAGATGTGAACGAGTGTGATCTGAGCGGCACGTTGTGTCCTAACGGCAGGTGTGTGAATGTGGCGGGGACCTACCAGTGCTCCTGCAGCTCTGGATACCACACAACCCCTGAGAGGAAAGGGTGCGCAGGTCAGAACTTAAATCAGATCAGCTTTTAATGACCTTTAAAGCCTCAAACTCTCCATTTTATCAGTTCTGTAGAGGAATTTACCGTTAAAGACCCAAGGACCAGATATGATGAATGAATACCAGGAGTCAGAAGTGCAGTCAATTGAAGAACATTTTACTGAAGAATAGTTTGCAGTTTCATCAGCTTCAACACTCGGCGAGGAGTTCGTACATTCACGAAACCACAGCAATTATACTTTACACTGGTCTCTAAGCTACTTCATTACTTCAGGTTGAATGATTCTGATTGGCTAAGAAATAGATAGACTTAGAAAACCTCCACATATGGACGGATAGGCAGAAGCATATCTCCAGATTATTCAGATGACACCCGCCGAGGTCACAGAACTGCGTTTCTAGGCTCCAGCTCGGTGGAAAAACAAGTCTCTCCATCTCCTCAGGGCCAGTTGTTCACCTCACCAATACTGAGCTGTAACAGAGAATACTAGCACGCGCACACACACACACACACACACTGACACACACACACAGCTGAAGTTGGTCGAGCTCTGGCTCTAAACAAGACTTTCCCCAAAACATACTGATAACATGTTCCTTCTCTCAGTTCTTTCTCTCAGTGAGAGGTTCAGACAATTTGTATCGTTTTTTTTCTACTGTTTGAAGATTTGTCAAGTAAATGCTTTAACTAAGAACTGGTCAACAGGCCGGAGTGACCCGGTGACCTCGGCTGTCTTGGTCAGCTAGAAGAGTACATACCTTGATTATACATAACTCATTACAAATCACTCAAAAGATATACATTGAAGCGGCAGTAGATTTCTGAATCGGACCCTTCAGTTAATGTACTCATTTTCTGTGGCTCTGTCCAACCACGCTTGGAAACTGTAGATGCATTAATGAAAAGAGCAGTATATGAAACCACAGTGGCTATTCATTTACACTCACGTTTAAACATCAGTACGATTTCTTGTAAGATGTCTCTTCTGCTCACCAAGGCTGCATTTATTTGATCAAAAATACTGTGAAATATTATTATTATAATGTAACTGTTTTCTATATGACTATACAGTAAAGTGTAATGTATTCCTGTGATCAAAGCTGAATTTTCAGCATCATTACTCCAGTCTTCAGAGTCACATGATCCTTCAGAAATCACTCTAATATGATGATTTGATGCTCAAGAAACATTTATGATTATTATCAATGCTGAAAACATTTGAGCTGATTCATATTTTTGTGGAAACCATGATGCATATTTTAGGGATTCTTTGATGGATAGACAGTTCAAAAGAACAGCATTTATATGAAATAGAAGTCTTTTGTAATATTATGTCTTTATTAACAGTTGTGATCAATTTAATGACCCAGTCTTTTGAACAGTAGTGTGAATTGCTTGTCATCTATTACTGAACGTCCCTACATCACTAACACAGATATGTGTGTGTTCCTCAGACATAGACGAGTGCACGATCGAGAACGGAGGATGTGAGCTGTACTGTAGTAACTCTGAGGGGAGCTACTCCTGCACCTGTGCTCAGGGTTATGCTCTGACCCCAGACCAGCGGACATGTGCAGGTGCTCTACTACAAACACTGACGAGCTTTTCTGTGTCTACAGAGCGCTCTTTAATCTACAAACACAGCTGATTGAGTGGCGCATACAATTGTATATAGCATGTTGTATGTCTAGTTGCACACATACACTGCACAAAGACTCACCTCTCTTTCTTTCTCTTTTCAGATGTGAATGAGTGTGAAGAGGAGGCTGGCATCTGTGAGGGCGGTCAGTGCACTAACTCTCCTGGAGCATATCATTGCCTGTGTTATGAAGGATTCATCACTTCTGCCGACACCAGGACATGCATCGGTATGATGCTCAATTCTTAAACAGGAATGTATTTTTGGAAGGAATGTTTTTGCTCTGCTTTTGCTTATTTGTATGTAATTCAACACACATCTTCTGCAGAGATCTTTTGCTGTGTGTGACGGAGAGTATGTGTTCAAAAATAAGACAACATCTGTTAATAACCCATGTTTTAAAAGTTAGCATTACAAGAATGTGATGCGTATCAGATGAAAGAGTCTGTCTGTACTGGGTCTGTTTTGACTCTTGCATAGTCATTTGACAGAATATGATTTTGTTTTTAGTCTGTTGGTGTGGGGCTTTTGTTGCAGATGTGAATGAGTGTGAACTCAACAGCAGCATCTGTGTGTTTGGGGAGTGTGAGAACACCGAGGGTTCATACATCTGTCATTGTGAGATGGGTTACGCTGTGAAGAAGGGAACCTCGGGCTGCACCGGTGAGACCTGATCCAGAGAAACGCCTCAGACGTGTGGCGTGTACTTAATCACATACAAATACTTCCAAACTGTACTTGCACTGTTACTGTACATCAGTACTCCACAATGCACAGAGCATTGTAATAGTTGTTGATTGTCTGTGTATTGGCATGTAATCTCTGATACAGATGTTAATGAGTGCGAGACGAACACTCATAACTGTGATGCACACGCCGCCTGTATCAACACCGCTGGGCGCTACCTCTGCTCCTGCTGGGACGGCTGGGCCGGGGATGGAGTCAGGTGTGCTGGTGCGTGTTGTTCCTCATTTATTTATTTATTTATTTACACAGGTAAGTTGACTGAGAACAAGTTCTCATTTACAGCAACGACCTGTGTAGGTCACACACACACAAAAAATACAGCCAGAAATACAATGTACAATAAACAAGCTCAAATAAATTAAAAGCTATTAAAAAGAAAAGGCAAAACAATCACATAAAACAAACACAGTCAGTAATAAAATGATCGTTAAAATGGTAAACGTCTAAAATGCCATAAAGGCACCAGATCATCCAGTTTAATAGTACATCATTCACCCTGTTACTGGGCTAGAAAGGTGTGTAAACTGAATGTGGCCATGTAACTTATCCTGCTTATAATGCTAGCAGAATGCTTAAAACCCTCTTACCTGTGGTAATTAATCACCTTTATTTACACTCACCTAAAGGATTATTAGAAACACCTGTTCAATTTCTCATTAATGCAATTATCTAATCAACCAATCACATGGCAGTTGCTTCAATGCATTTAGGGGTGTGGTCCTGGTCAAGACAATCTCCTGAACTCCAAACTGAATGTCAGAATGGGAAAGAAAGGTGATTTAAGCAATTTTGAGCGTGGCATGGTTGTTGGTGCCAGACGGGCCGGTCTGAGTATTTCACATTCTGCTCAGTTACTGGGATTTTCACGCACAACCATTTCTTGGGTTTACAAAGAATGGTGTGAAAAGGGAAAAACATCCAGTATGCGGCAGTCCTGTGGGCGAAAATGCCTTGTTGATGCTAGAGGTCAGAGGAGAATGGGCCGACTGATTCAAGCTGATAGAAGAGCAACTTTGACTGAAATAACCACTCGTTACAACCGAGGTATGCAGCAAAGCATTTGTGAAGCCACAACACGCACAACCTTGAGGCGGATGGGCTACAACAGCAGAAGACTCCACCGGGTACCACTCATCTCCACTACAAATAGGAAAAAGAGGCTACAATTTGCAAGAGCTCACCAAAATCGGACAGTTGAACACTGGAAAAATGTTGCCTGGTCTGATGAGTCTCGATTTCTGTTGAGACATTCAGATGGTAGAGTCAGAATTTGGCGTAAACAGAATGAGAACATGGATCCATCATGCCTTGTTACCACTGTGTAGGCTGGTGGTGGTGGTGTAATGGTGTGGGGGATGTTTTCTTGGCACACTTTAGGCCCTTTAGTGCCAATTGGGCATCGTTTAAATGCCACGGCCTACCTGAGCATTGTTTCTGACCATGTCCATCCCTTTATGGCCACCATGTACCCATCCTCTGATGGCTACTTCCAGCAGGATAATGCACCATGTCACAAAGCTCGAATAATTTCAAATTGGTTTCTTGAACATGACAATGAGTTCACTGTACTAAAATGGCCCCCACAGTCACCAGATCTCAACCCAATAGAGCATCTTTGGGATGTGGTGGAACGGGAGCTTCGTGCCCTGGATGTGCATCCCACAAATCTCCATCAACTGCAAGATGCTATCCTATCAATATGGGCCAACATTTCTAAAGAATGCTTTTAGCACCTTGTTGAATCAATGCCATGTAGAATTAAGGCAGTTCTGAAGGCGAAAGGGGGTCAAACACAGTATTAGTAGGGTGTTCCTAATAATCCTTTAGGTGAGTGTATAGTGATTTATACAATACAGATTGTTTCAAAGCAGCTTTACAGAGATAACAGGAAAATAATGCAACAAAGTTTGTGTCTAGAAGAAAATAGCGTCACAGTCCAGCTTAAAGGAGAACTCCGGTCAATTTTAACATTGAGCTCATTTTTTTGTACAATGTTAAAATTGACCGGAGTTCTCCTTTAAGTAAGTTCAGTGATGTTTCATTTTTGTTGTAAAAAAATATAAAAAGATCAGGGCTGTCAAATGATTAATCACGATTAATCATATCCAAAATAAAAGTTTTTTTTACATAATATATGTGGGTGCACTGTGTATAATTATTTTGTATATATATTAATACACACACATGCATGTATATTTAAGAAAAAAATATTATTTATATATAAATTATTTATATTTATATATAATATAAATTATATATAAATATATATACAGTATATACATGGAAATATTTCTTAAATATATACAAGCATGTGTGTGTATTTATATATATAAAATAATTATACACAGTGCACCCACATATATTATGTAAAAAAAACTTTTATTTTGGATGTGATTAATCAAGATTAATCATTTGACAGCCCTAAAAAATATAAATATATATACAGCCGCTCTGGAGAAAACCGTGATGTCATCGTCCAGCTCAGGTCAGTTCTCATATAATGGTGTCAATGCAGGCAGATTAATAATATTGTTGAATATTATATTAAATGTCCCCAACTAAGCAAGCCAAAAGCCAATGACGAGACAAAGGCGAAAAAGGCGACACTGAAAAGGAACCAAACCTCCATCAGTGACAGAATGGAGAAATAAACCTTGGAAGAACCCAGACTCAGTCGTTCAGTTCTCCTCTGGCCAACGAGCGAACAGTGTGTGATTATGATTCAGGCAGCATTACAGGTCAAAGGTCACGATCGGAGTCACGCCGGTATGGAGACGGGTTTGTTGAGGATCAATGCCGATGGCTGTCGTGTCGATGAGGCCTTACAGGGGAGAGTCTAGTTGACACAATCTCTGCTGACACTTCAGGGATGCGCTGTGGTCGTGTCTAGGAGCAGGTCCTCCATCGGATCTGGATACGGCCCGGATCCGGCTGACTACATCATGCGTTGTGGTCGTGTCTAGGCGCTGGTCCTCCATCAGATCTGGATACGGCCCGGATCCGGCTGACTACATCATGCGTTGTGGTCGTGTCTAGGCGCTGGTCCTCCATCAGATCTGGATACGGCCCGGATCCGGCTGACTACATCATGCGTTGTGGTCGTGTCTAGGCGCTGGTCCTCCACCTGGTCTGGATACGGCCCGGATCCGGCTGACTACATCATGCGTTGTGGTCGTGTCTAGGCGCTGGTCCTCCATCAGATCAGGATATGGCCCGGATCCGGCTGACTACATCATGCGTTGTGGTCGTGTCTAGGAGCAGGTCCTCCATCTGGTCTGGATACGGCCCGGATCCGGCTGACTACATCATGCGTTCTGGTCGTGTCTAGGCGCTGGTCCTCCATCAGATCAGGATATGGCCCGGATCCGGCTGACTACATCATGTGTTGTGGTCGTGTCTAGGCGCTGGTCCTCCATCTGATCTGGATACGGCCCGGATACGGCTGACTACATCATGCGTTGTGGTCGTGTCTAGGCGCAGGTCCTCCATCTGATCTGGATACGGCCCGGATACGGCTGACTACATCATGCGTTGTGGTCGTGTCTAGGAGCAGGTCCTCCATCTGATCTGGATACGGGCCGGATCCGGCTGACTACATCATGCGTTGTGGTCGTGTCTAGGAGCAGGTCCTCTATCTGGTCTGGATACGGCCCGGATCCGGCTGACTACATCATGCGTTCTGGTCGTGTCTAGGAGCAGGTCCTCCATCTGATCTGGATACGGGCTGGATCCGGCTGACTACATCATGCGTCGTGGTCGTGTCTAGGAGCAGGTCCTCCATCTGATCTGGATACGGCCCGGATCCGGCTGACTACATCATGCGTTGTGATCGTGTCTAGGCGCAGGTCCACCACCTGATCTGGATACGGGCCGGATCCGGCTGACTACATCATGCGTTGTGATCGTGTCTAGGCGCTGGTCCTCCATCTGATCTGGATACGGGCCGGATCCGGCTGACTACATCATGCGTTGTGATCGTGTCTAGGCGCAGGTCCTCCATCTGATCTGGATACGGGCCGGATCCGGCTGACTACATCATGTGTTGTGGTCGTGTCTAGGAGCAGGTCCACCATCTGATCTGGATACGGCCCGGATCCGGCTGACTACATCATGTGTTGTGGTCGTGTCTAGGAGCAGGTCCTCCATCTGATCTGGATACGGGCCGGATCCGGCTGACTACATCATGTGTTGTGGTCGTGTCTAGGAGCAGGTCCTCCATCTGATCTGGATACGGGCCGGATCCGGCTGACTACATCATGTGTTGTGGTCGTGTCTAGGAGCAGGTCCTCCATCTGATCTGGATACGGGCCGGATCCGGCTGACTACATCATGCGTTGTGGTCGTGTCTAGGCGCAGGTCCACCATCTGATCTGGATACGGGCCGGATCCGGCTGACTACATCATGTGTTGTGGTCGTGTCTAGGAGCAGGTCCTCCATCTGATCTGGATACGGGCCGGATCCGGCTGACTACATCATGCGTTGTGGTCGTGTCTAGGAGCAGGTCCTCCATCTGATCTGGATACGGGCCGGATCCGGCTGACTACATCATGCGTTGTGGTCGTGTCTAGGAGCAGGTCCTCCATCTGATCTGGATACGGCCCGGATCCGGCTGACTACATCATGCGTTGTGATCGTGTCTAGGCGCTGGTCCTCCATCTGATCTGGATACGGGCCGGATCCGGCTGACTACATCATGCGTTGTGGTCGTGTCTAGGCGCTGGTCCTCCATCTGATCTGGATACGGGCCGGATCCGGCTGACTACATCATGTGTTGTGGTCGTGTCTAGGAGCAGGTCCTCCATCTGATCTGGATACGGGCCGGATCCGGCTGACTACATCATGCGTTGTGGTCGTGTCTAGGAGCAGGTCCTCCATCTGATCTGGATACGGGCCGGATCCGGCTGACTACATCATGCGTTGTGATCGTGTCTAGGCGCTGGTCCTCCATCTGATCTGGATACGGCCCGGATCCGGCTGACTACATCATGCGTTGTGGTCGTGTCTAGGCGCTGGTCCTCCATCTGATCTGGATACGGGCCGGATCCGGCTGACTACATCATGCGTTGTGATCGTGTCTAGGCGCAGGTCCTCCATCTGATCTGGATACGGGCCGGATCCGGCTGACTACATCATGTGTTGTGGTCGTGTCTAGGAGCAGGTCCTCCATCTGATCTGGATACGGGCCGGATCCGGCTGACTACATCATGCGTTGTGGTCGTGTCTAGGAGCAGGTCCTCCATCTGATCTGGATACGGGCCGGATCCGGCTGACTACATCATGTGTTGTGGTCGTGTCTAGGAGCAGGTCCTCCATCTGATCTGGATACGGGCCGGATCCGGCTGACTACATCATGCGTTGTGGTCGTGTCTAGGAGCAGGTCCTCCATCTGATCTGGATACGGGCCGGATCCGGCTGACTACATCATGCGTTGTGGTCGTGTCTAGGAGCAGGTCCTCCATCTGATCTGGATACGGGCCGGATCCGGCTGACTACATCATGCGTTGTGGTCGTGTCTAGGAGCAGGTCCTCCATCTGATCTGGATACGGGCCGGATCCGGCTGACTACATCATGTGTTGTGGTCGTGTCTAGGAGCAGGTCCACCATCTGATCTGGATACGGGCCGGATCCGGCTGACTACATCATGCGTCGTGGTCGTGTCTAGGAGCAGGTCCTCCATCAGATCTGGACACGGCTCGGATCCGGCTGACTACAGTAAACGTCGGAATAAACAGAAAGACTAATATTAGCGTAGATGCCATTCTTCTTATTATGTAACGAGTAATCACTGTAAAGCACTGATTCAAAGAGTTTTATGATCATTTATGACCTACGTTTTCTCTATTTATTCTCTAAATCAGAAGTACACTTAGCTTAATTTTGACCTTTTTATGGTTGTGCACAATTATGATAAGCTGGAAACAGTGTTAAAGAAAATCAATGTTGTATAAAGTACCCAATCATCATGACTAAAACTAAAGATACCTGAATGAGAATATTGACAATAATAATGGATTTAATAATATTTATGTATTTAAATAATTAAATGTTACATCAAATGTTCAGTGTGTTTGTATGTATTTAATGTGTAGATGTGGATGAGTGTGTGAACAGGACTGAGGTCTGCAGCGCTGATGCCGAGTGTGTGAACACGGCTGGCTCGTTCCGCTGTAAATGTTCAGAAGGCTTTACTGGCGACGGATTTACCTGCTCAGGTCCATCATTCATCTTTCTGTCTGTCTGCTCAATCTGTCCATCCACACCAACATGCTTCTATCATACAAACCATCACTGACTGGGGTCTTGTTGTCCTGCAGATATGGACGAGTGTGCTGAAGATGTGGATCTGTGTGAAAACGGCCAGTGCCTCAATGTTCCCGGCGGCTATCGCTGTGAATGTGAGATGGGCTTCACACACACTCCCAACAGGAGAACCTGTCGAGGTGCGCTTGTCTACACACACACAGGCTGCAACCATTTAATGTACTGACTGTAATTTTGCTGCATATCACAGAGCTGAATTGTAATGGTCTAAGTCAGTTACTGCTATTTGCCATCATTTTGTGGACAGACAAGAGATCACCTAAAAATCAGTTACTGATATCCTTTGGCTCATTTCCAGATATAGACGAGTGCACCTTCCACAACATCTGTGTGTTTGGCTCATGTCAGAATATCCCAGGAATGTTTCGCTGTGTTTGTGATGAGGGGTATGAGCTGGACAGGACAGGTGGAAACTGCACAGGTAAACACACACACATCAACAGCTGTTCTTCACCTCACACACACTGACCGCTTCTGTGTTGCTGTGATGTCAGACGTGGACGAGTGTCTCGATCCCATCAGCTGTGTTAATGGTCACTGTGAGAACACAGCCGGCTCGTACCAGTGCAACTGTCCCATTGACTTCGAGCTCAACCCCACTGGAATCGGCTGTGTTGGTAAGGCTGATTATTCAATGTAACCCAAACCCTCACTACGTCACAGCTTATATATATACTGTATATATATATATATATATATTTGGAATTCATACATACATTTCTTATTTAAACTAAATCCTGTCATCCAGCATCTCCTCTTCCTCTTTCATCCTCTTCCTTTTCATCAAAAATGTGTTTTAAGTGGACAGATCAATACAGTACAAAGAACATAAAAAAATGTTGGATGTTGGTAAAAAAACAATGTCTTTTCTGTTAACCAAATGCTTTTTAATCTTCAATGCAAATGAACAAGCACGCCGTTATTTGTTGCATTGCGTAGTGACGTGTGTGTGTTCAAGTAAGCAGATATGAGCAGATTCTGCGCAGATATGAGTATTTGCGCTAAATCTCCAGCAAAGTGAGTGAACATAATAAGTAAAACGCCAAATTGGCTCGTGATTTGACAGCGTTACCCGCCACAGTTGATTTTTACCCTGGGTTGGCGGTTGTTAGTTTCAAACCCTGGATGTAATGTATTCACACTGTATATCCTGCATCCTTCCCTTTATTAAAGTGTTCTGTCATCATCCATAAAGTTTGACACACAGTGAGTTGTTCTCTCTGCATGCGGCAGACACGCGAGCAGGGAGCTGTTTTCTGGAGTACCGAGGCTCGCGGGCCTGTGGCGTTGAGCTGGGCTTGGGAGTCAGTCGTTCATCATGCTGCTGTTCTCCGGGACAGGCGTGGGGTAACCCGTGTGACCTTTGCCCTCCACTCAACACATGTAAGGAGCTCTACAATACTACTCAATTGTTCAACACAACAGTACTTCAAGATGACTAGAATTCAATTATACAATGGAACAATATGTCAGTACTTTCATACTGTAATAATTCACTATTGCAATACATCATTACCACTGCAGGCGTGAAAACATTTAAAAGATGAACATGTTCTGAAAAACACATATCACATATCAAACACACATATATATGCGGTTCTATGAATATGCAAATGAGCCCCGGCTCCACTCACTCACTCAGCTCAGAGATCCACTGGTTGACGATCACACGTTGATCTGATTGGTTACAAGGTCGTTTGTGACGTCAGAAACACCAGCGATTTCAAACCGTGTTTTTGAGACTGTCTTTGGTTCACTGCAGTTTTAAGGAGAAAATACTCAGCAATGCTGTCGACTTATGAACTTACACATGGTTTGTCTTAAAGCATATTAATAACACCACATAGACACATAAACAACATTAAAAGCTGGATGTTCACCACAGGGGGACTTTAATACGGGGGCGGCAGTGGCTCAGTGGTTCATGTGGGTTGTCTACAAACCGGAAGGTTGGTGGTTCAATCCTCGGTTCCACCTGACCAAGTGTCAAGGTGTCCATGAGCAAGACACCTAACCCCAGCTGCTCCCGACGAGCTGGATGGCGCCTTGCATGGCTGCCGTCGCCCGTCGGTGTATGAATGTGTGAGTGAATGGGTGAATGTGAGGCAAATTGTAAAGCGCTTTGGTGGCCATTGGGTCTGTGAAAGCGCTATATAAATGCAGTCCATTTACCAATACTACAACACTTCAATATTTAAATCTTTATACTTCAGGACTGCGATATGCCTTTATCGTTTGCAGGGATGCTGGAGCCCAATGACAACACTTCTGTTTTACAATACTTTAATATTACAATGCAATAATTTAAAGTAATTTAAAGGCAGACTTTTAAACAGAATTTTTTTTGTGACAATAAGATTCATAAGTTCTTTCATATCGTCTTAGCATATTACAAAATAAATATTGATGAATATGAATGATAAAGAAGGCTGATGACCATATCATGTGTGTCTAGCGGAGTATAACACACTGTGTCCTGGAGGAGAGGGGTTCAAACTTAACCCCATCACCATCATCCTGGAAGGTAATCAACCCTTTATGCTATACTATACATCACTATACACCGCTGAACGTACTCTCTATAACAGGTTATTATTTCCTGTGAAGTTATAGAAAATACATAAGCAATAAGGTCATAGTGGCTGTACTATTTTGTGATTACTGTCAACTCTATTGGGTTAATGTTAGATATGACACACAGTAGGGGGACTCTTCATAATATAGTATTTTTTAATGGTTACTATATAATAAAAATATAAGGTACAGATTTGTTTATTTAAAAATTATTGGATAAAATAGAGAGACTAATATTAATGTAGATGCCATTCTTCTTATGATGCACATCAGGTGTTATAGGATGTGTTCCTGGTTTACCTAATTTATGCAGACTAATATTTTAACTGATTTGAATAATAGGAATGTAATCTATGTGTATGCTAGGTCAAAGAGATGTGTTTTTAGTCTAGATTTGAACTGACAGAGTGTGTCTGCTTTCCAGACGATGTTAGGAAGACTGTTCCAGAGTTTTGGTGTTAAATAGGAAAAGGATCTACCGCCTGCAGTCGATTTTGATATTCTAGGTATTATCAACTGGCCAGAGTTTTGAGATCGCAATAGACGTGACAGACTATAATGCGTTAAGAGCTCGCTCAAGTACTGGGGAGCTAAACCATTTAGTGCTTCGTAAGTAATCAGTGTGCTGGAGATTGTGCTGGTGCCGTGGGCTGTATTGGAGAGGAAGCACCCAGGGCGGATCTCAGGGCCAGAATATATTAAATATACATGATAACACTTTAGTTTAGGGTCCAATTCTCACTATTAGTCCCCCTTAGACCTCACTGCTGCCTTTGACACTGTTGACCACTCAATCCTCTTGTCAAGGTTGGAGAATTGTGTGGGAATCAAAGGTACTGCACTTAGGTGGTTTCAGTCCTACCTAACAGATAGGAGCTTCTCTGTCCACCTTGGCGATTATTCCTCTGAGACAGCACCATTTACCTGTGGTGTCCCTCAAGGTTCTGTCTTGGGCCCCATTCTATTTTCGTTGTATATGCTGCCCCTAGCCTCCATTTTTGAGAAGTATGAGATCTCCTTCCATTGTTTTGCAGACGACATTAAAATTTACCTGCCCCTGAAAAGAAAGAGCTCATTACAGCCCCTGCTTGACTGTATGAAGGATATCAAAGCGTGGATGAACCTAAATTTCCTCAACCTAAACGAAGACAAGACAAGACAGAGGTCATAGTGTTCGGACATCCTGAACTGTTTGATGTGGACTCTCTTGGCCCTCTAACTTCAAACAACCGCTCAACTGTGAGGAGTCTTGGTGTTATATTTGATAGTGCATTTAAACTTGATAAACAGATATCCACCACTGTTAGATCCTGCTTCTTCCAGTTGAGAACTATAGCCAAGGTAAAGGCCTATCTCCCGCATAAAGATTTAGAGAGGGTGATTAATGCCTTTATAACTACTCGCCTTGACTACTGCAACTCCTTATATGTGGGCTTAGACAAGACATCTATTCAGCGCCTGCAGTTGGTACAAAATGCTGCTGCCCGCCTCCTAACAGGAAAAAAGAAGAGAGACCACATCACACCTGTGTTGCGCTCCCTCCACTGGCTTCCCGTTCATTACAGGATTGATTTTAAAATCTTACTCTTAACTTTTAAATGCCTAAATGGATTGGCTCCATTGTATTTAACAGAGCTTCTTAATGTTCACACTCCAACTAGAGTGTTGAGATCCACCAATCTCCTCCTCCTGGATGTGCCCAGAAGCAGACTTAAAACCAGAGGCGATAGAGCCTTCAGTGTAGCTGGCCCAAACTTGTGGAACAACCTGCCACTCCAGATTAGAACTGCCCCAACTCTCGCACGCTTTAAATCACTGTTAAAAACACATTTCTTTTCTCTGGCATTTCCTCTCAGCTAAGTTTGTTATCTTTCCTGGCAAATTTTAAACTTAATTTCACTATATATCATATACTGTATATTATAATGTTTTTGGTTGTAGTTTTACTGTGTGCCTTGTTGTATTTTTATCCTGTGAAGCACCTTGGTCAACCTTGGTTGTTTTAAGTGTGCTATACAAATAAAGTTGATATTGATATTGATTGATATTGATATTAACTAGTTCCTTATTAACATGCATATTACTAGTGTATTAGTACTTATAAAGCACATATTAATGCCTTATTCTGCACGGCCATATATCACTTAATCCACCAATACCTAGACTTAACAACTACCTTACTATTAATAAGCAGTAATTAGGAGTTTATTGAGGCAAAAGTCATAGTTAATAGTTAGTTGGTAGTGATAATTAGAGCATAATCTAATATATAACATCTTTAAAATACATTTTAGACATATTAATCTGTATTTAATAAGAAATGTTTCATTTCATGAAGGGTGTTTATCTGTAGTAAAGGTCCTTTGGGAAAGTTGCACAATTGCTTAATTTATTTGATTGCACACACAGATAAATATTTTTGATATTTTGTAGGTCACAAAATAAGAATGTTAGAACACTTTATTCAGATAATAGTAGTGTTCAGAACATAGTCTCGTAGTGTGAGATGCGAGCATTGGTTCTGGTATATTAGCCCATGGCAGTGGATAATCGACATGTCTGACTCACACTCTATTGCAAGACCGCACAAGAACTACTGTCGGTGAAATGCCAATAATGAAACAACCCAGGTGAGGCTGTTAGATTATTTGTTTTCTTTTACGGTAAAAGTAACATCCATACGGTAAAATAAGTAAGCTGGGCCTTGTCTGGAATTCAAACAGTCCTGCAGGAAGATGCTCTTATTATCTTTGCCTTGTTTTCCTAAAATGGACTTCGATGAGTGTAAGAAGAAATGTAAGCCTGAAATATAAAAATAAATATAAGGGGTATTGAGAACTGTTGTGTTTGTGTTGGTGTCAGATATTGATGAGTGTCAGGAGCTGCCCGGCCTGTGCCAGGGTGGAAACTGCATCAATGCGATTGGCAGTTTCCAGTGCGATTGCCCGGCCGGATACCAGCTCAACACAGACAAGCGCATCTGTGAGGGTGAGCAGCGCTTCTGTGCTCAAACATACTCTCTGAGCGTCTCAGTGAACAGAGTGAGCTTGACTGTAAGGTGTGTGTTTCAGATATTGATGAATGTGTGCTCAGTTCAGGGGTGTGTGGTCCGGGCACCTGCTACAACACACTGGGAAACTACACATGTGTCTGTCCACGGGACTACATGCAAGTGAGCGGAGGACACCGCTGCATGGGTGCGTGCGTGTGTGTGTCAGTGTGCTTCACACACTCTAGTGTAGCTACAACTGATGCTGGTTTGATGCAGACAGCACAGTTGCTAATTACTAGTTTAATAAAGAGGTGTCCAGTCCTGTTTCTGGAGATCTACCGTCCTGCAGAGTTCAGCTCCATCCCTGATCACACACACACTCCTGAAGTAGCGGATGCAGATCTCCAGGAGCACGTGGTGGCTACAGACAGGACAGGTGTGTGTTGATCAGGACTGGATCTGAACTCTGCAGGACGGTAGATCTCCAGAAACAGGATTGGGATCCCATAACTTAATAGTTTTACAACCCGAATTCCAGAAAAGTTGGGACGTTTTTTAAATTTGAATAAAATGAAAACTATAAGACTTTCAAATCACATGAGCCAATGTTTTATTCACAATAGAACATAACATAACAAATGTTTAAACTGAGAAATTTTACACTTTTATCCAATAAATGAGCTCATTTCAAATTTGATGCCTGCTACAGGTCTCAAAATAGTTGGGACGGGGGCACGTTCACCATGGTGTAACATCTCCTCTTCTTTTCAAAACAGTTTGAAGACGTCTGGGCATCGAGTTTATGAGTGTCTGGAGTTTTGGTGTTGAAATTTGGTCCCATTCTTGCCTTATATAGGTTTCCAGCTGCTGAAGTGTTCGTGGTCGTCTTTGACACATTTTTCGTTTAATGATGCGCCAAATGTTCTCTATAGGTGAAAGATCTGGACTGCAGGCAGGCCAATTCAACACCCGGACTCTTCTACAATGTAGCCATGCAGTTGTAATAGCTGCAGTATGTGGTTTTGCATTGTCCTGCTGAAATACACAAGGCCTTCCCTGAAATAGACGTCGTCTGGAGGGGAGCATATGTTGCTCTAAAACCTTTATATAGCTTTCAGCATTCATAGTGCCTTCCAAAACATGCCAGCTGCCCATACCGTATGCACTTATGCACCCCCATACCATCAGAGATGCTAGCTTTTGAACTGAACGCTGATAACACGATGGAAGGTCTCCCTCTTCTTTTGCCCGGAGGACACGGCGTCCGTGATTTCCAACAAGAATGTCAAATTTGGACTCGTCGGACCATAGAATACTTTTCCACTTTGAAATAGTCCATTTAAAATGAGCCTTGGCCCACAGGACACGACGGCGCTTCTGGACCATGTTCACATATGGCTTCCTTTTTGCATGATAGAGCTTTAGTTGGCATCTGCAGATGGCACGGCGGATTGTGTTTACCGACAGTGGTTTCTGGAAGTATTCCTGGGCCCATTTAGTAATGTCATTCACACAATCATACCGATGAGTGATGCAGTGTCGTCTGAGGGCCCGAAGACCACGGGCATCCAATAAAGGTATTCGGCCTTGTCCCTTACGCACAGAGATTTCTCCAGTTTCTCTGAATCTTTTGATGATGTTGTGCACTGTAGATGATGAGATTAGCAAAGCCTTTGCAATTTGACGTTGAGGAACATTGTTTTTAAAGTGTTCCACAATCTTTTTACGCACTCTTTCACAGATTGGAGAGCCTCTGCCCATCTTTACTTCTGAGAGACTCTACCTCTCTAAGACATCCATTTTATAGCTAATCATGTTACAGACCTGATATAAATGAACTTAATTAGTTGCTAGATTTTCTCCCACCTGAATCTTTTCTAAATTTCTTGCTTTTTCAACCATTTGTTGCCCCCGTCCCAACTATTTTGAGACCTGTAGCAGGCATCAAATTTGAAATGAGCTCATTTAGTGGATACAAGTGTAAAATTTATTCGTTTAAACATTTGTTATGTTATCTATGTTCTATTGTGAATAAAATATTGGCTCATGTGATTTGAAAGTCTTATAGTTTTCATTTTATTCAAATTTAAAAAACGTCCCAACTTTTCCGGAATTCGGGTTGTAATTGTAATCAATAGATTTTATGGTAACACTCTACAATAAGGTTCATTAGTTAACAGTAATAGTAGTAATAGTAGTAGTTAATATATGAACTAACATGAACTAACAATGAGCAATACATTTGTTACAGTATTTATTCATCTTAGTTAATGTTAATTAATACAAAATACAACTGTTCATTGTTTGTTCATGTTAGTTCACGGTGCATTACCTAATGTTAACAAATACAACCTTTGATTTTAATAATGTATTAGTAAATGTTGAAATGAAATTAACTAAGATTAATAAATGCTGTCGAAGTATTGCTCATCTTTATATAATGTTAACTAAAGTTGGTAACTAATGTTAACTAATGAACCTTATTGTAAAGTGTTACACTTTTATTTTCTTTGTAAATGCTTTTTGCTCTACTCATGCGGGTTAGTGTACTTTATATAGTATATTTTATTTATTTGACTGTATATAAAAAAAAAAAAAATGCAAACTACTTATTTGTAGGGCTGTGTTGTTTTAGATATGAGGAAAAGTCTGTGTTACCGAGACTACAGTGGCAGTACCTGTGAACACCAGCTCCACTTCAACACCACACAGAGATTGTGCTGCTGTTCCTACAATGTGGGAAAAGCCTGGAACAAACCATGCCAGTCCTGTCCGAGCCCTGGCACAGGTGAGCACACACACCAGTCCTGTCCGAGCCCTGGCACAGGTGAGCACGAGCACACGGGGCGTTGCGACGTTCGTCTGTTATTGGATAACTTAGTTTGAATAAATGAGCAGACACTGATTAGCTACTTGCTCTACGTTTACTTTAAATTAACAGCAAGACATTTAGCAGTGAATGTGCTTTCCATTAAATGAATCACACACAGTAAACAAATCCTTAACAAAAAAAGTGTCTTTCTTTGTCAGTGTCAAAGATGAAGTTGACGATGCTGACTCGCGATCTTCGCAGTAGTGAACGCGCCAGAGAGAATGCACATTTCATACGGAGTACATAAGCAGAGAGCAGTCTGTAGTCTGTTTTCTTTCGGTTTGAATTGTTCTGTTTAAAAGTAGACATGTCTGTGACTATGAGGCAAGTAGGCTACCTTAAACGCTGAGTTTCGGTTCATTTATGAGACGAGCTCCAGTTCACGCGCCAGCGCCTCTGTGCCGTGATTATCTATCGTCTGCTATATTTACTTCTTATTTATTAAATCCAGGCAATTGGTTGATGAAACATTGATTAAAATTAAGATACAATTAATACAAAACGAAATTCACTTTAAAGAAATATTTTGTGCTTTCTGTTTGAGGTCTCTGTGAATGTTTTTGTTATGACGGTGGAAGGTGAACCCAGACAGGATGCAGTGACACAAAGTTTATTATAGACAGAAAACAGAGAAAACAAAACCCACGAGGCGGCAAAACACGAACAGCAAAACAAATAACAAGACTAGACCAGACTAGACTAGGACTGACAAACTAGACCATAAACTAACTGCAGAAACAGGATCAGTAATTCTCCAGACAAAACTCACAAGGTACTCACAGGTAAGTTTAACACACAGGGAGAAATCACACTATGAGAAACAATGAACCGGCACAGGACAGCAAACACAAGGGGATTAAATAGGGAGACTAATGATAACATAACAGGTGACACAGATTAATTAATGATGACTAAACAAGGGTAACAAGGGGGCGGGGTTAGGTGACGAGACAACGCAAGCACATGGCCCAAACACAAGGCCATGTGCTTGCACACAAAACACGGGTCTGTCATCATCCTGCCTCAAGACTAAGGAAAATCAAGGACACGAGGGCAGAATCATGACAGAACCCCCACCTTAAGGAGCGGCTTCCAGACGCTCCCCAAGGGGACATCAAACGCGGGACATGACGGACTGGGACACAGACACGAACCAACAAAACATGACAAATAACAATAAAGGCATACACGAAAACACGACGACAGGGTTGGGATGCAACAATAAAAATAACAAACACAGGAGGGGGGGGCAGAGGAACAAGAGTGTTCATGGGGGATAGTCCAGGATGGATGGGTGGACTGGGGGTCTTGGGTTTACGGGATGAGGGCTGAGGACGAGGAATCCGGGCAGACTTGGATGGGGACACATGAGGCACAGTCTTGGGGGAAACAGTCTGGGGTGATGTGGTGACAGGGGTGACCGTGGAAACGCACAGGGGTACAGAGGGCGAAGAAACAGGAAACCAGACCAGGGGAACAGCAGGGGACACAACAGGACACATGACTGGGGGTGTTGCAGGCGGCTGAGGAGCAGAGAGAGGAATGGAGCTCGCAGAATTAGACTCGGAAATAGTGCTTCTCATATCTGATTCAAGATTAGCGTTTTCTGCAGCCGACTCGGGGACAGCAATCCGTGCAGCCGACTCGGGGACAGCAATCCGTGCAGCCGACTCGGGGACAGCAATCCGTGCAGCCGACTCGGGGACAACAATCCGTGCAGCCGACTCGGGGACAACAATCCGTGCAGCCGACTCGGGGACAGCAATCCGTGCAGCCGACTCGGGGACAGCAATCCGTGCAGCCGACTCGGGGACAACAATCCGTGCAGCCGACTCGGGGACAGCAATCCGTGCAGCCGACTCGGGGACAGCAATCCGTGCAGCCGACTCTGGGACAGCAATCCGTGCAGCCGACTGGGGGACAACAATCCGTGCAGCCGACTCGGGGACAACAATCCGTGCAGCCGACTCGGGGACAGCAATCCGTGCAGCCGACTCGGGGACAGCAATCCGTGCAGCCGACTCGGGGACAGCAATCCGTGCAGCCGACTCGGGGACAGCAATCCGTGCAGCCGACTCGGGGACAGCAATCCGTGCAGCCGACTCGGGGACAGCAATCCGTGCAGCCGACTCGGGGACAGCAATCCGTGCAGCCGACTCGGGGACAGCAATCCGTGCAGCCGACTCGGGGACAGCAATCCGTGCAGCCGACTCGGGGACAGCAATCCGTGCAGCCGACTCGGGGACAGCAATCCGTGCAGCCGACTCGGGGACAGCAATCCGTGCAGCCGACTCGGGGACAGCAATCCGTGCAGCCGACTCGGGGACAGCAATCCGTGGAGCCGACTCGGGGACAGCAATCCGTGCAGCCGACTCGGGGACAGCAATCCGTGCAGCCGACTCGGGGACAGCAATCCGTGCACTCTCCGACGCTGACTCGGGACTTGAAGACAAGACAGGTTTGGAAGGAACTTCTAGGATCTTGACGAGACTTGACAAATAATTAGATAAAGCCGCAGCGGCAATGACAAAAGGGGACCTTTGACGAGCTGATACCCGATTGCAGGACTGCTTCTGCAGCTTGATCGGCCGCAGCTCTCACAGCAGCTGACTTGGGATCAGCGCTCTCAACAGCTGGTTTGGGATCAGCGCTTGCAGTAGCGGGCTCTGGAACAGCGCTTGCAGTAGCGGAGCAGATGCCATTGTTGGACCAGTGACTGGTTGGGGAAGCTGAACAGGAGCTGTGACTGGGGCATGGAGGACAGTCTCAGACAGGGCTATTTCCGTCGCAGAGGATTCTGATGCAGACTCCCATGAGATCCGTCTCCCTCGCTTGCCGAGGAGACTTTCGGGTACGGCTGATGCCTCGGGATTGGAAGTGGAGCCAGCTTGATTCCCCAGGGTAACCACAGCCAGGACACGACCCTCCGGGATCACTGACAGCTTGGGTGATGGTGACGACAAGGTGGAACCCCGCGACTCCCTCCGTGACAAACAATCCACCATCTCACCAAACGGGCAGCAGACCAGCTTCTCCCGTTCAGCCAGGGGTGGGGGAGCGTTGAGACCCGCAATGAGGTAGCGGTTGAGGAGGATATCAGGTAGGAAAAGCCTCCTCTTGTTTGCAACCTGGGCGTACTCCCTCAGGGACCGCTTTCCCTGGGGAGGAATCGGCAGCTTGCCATTACTTGCATCAGAAATAGTCCTCCGCCACCATTGTGCAAGGTCATCCGGGTTATGCTCAACAAAAGAGGACATACTGTCTGCTGAGTTCTTTGGTGGCCGGTTCATTCTGTTATGACGGTGGAAGGTGAACCCAGGCGCAGACAGGATGCAGTGACACAAAGTTTATTATAGACAGAAAACAGAGAAAACAAAACCCACGAGGCGGCAAAACACGAACAGCAAAACAAATAACAAGACTAGACCAGACTAGACTAGGACTGACTAGACCATAAACTAACTACAGAAACAGGATCAGTAATTCTCCAGACAAAACTCTCACAAGGTACTCACAGGTAAGTTTAACACACAGGGAGAAATCACACTATGAGAAACAGTGAACCGGCAGAGGACAGCAAACACAAGGGGATTAAATAGGGAGACTAATGATAACATAACAGGTGAGACAGATTAATTAATGATGACTAAACAAGGGTAACAAGGGGGCGGGGTTAGGTGACGAGACAACGCAAGCACATGGCCCAAACACAAGGCCATGTGCTTGCACACAAAACACGGGTCTGTCATCATCCTGCCTCAAGACTAAGGAAAATCAAGGACACGAGGGCAGAATCATGACAGTTTTACTCTGTGAGACGTGATTAAATGTCACGTCTTTTAGTGGCGCTTTCAGACCGGTCACATCCGTAACATTGTTTTTTCCTTATAAATGCGAACACGAAACATAAAATAAAATGAATATTTTATGTTCTGTGGAGACTACTGTTACTCATAATTTGTATTGTGAATACGTAACGCCGGTACATGTATTCCGTTACTCCCCAACACTGATATTAGTATAACCTTATCTGCGAGATATTTTAATAACAAATATCGGTTTATTTGGCGGTTATAGAGTTCTAATGACGGTGTTCAACTATAACCGTCGGTCTCACGGTTATATAATAACCGTCACACCCCTACACATACTACAAGTCAAGTCACCTTTATTCATATAGCACGTTTAACAATACAGATACAGAAAATAATGCAACAAAGTTTGTTTCTAGAAGAAAATAGTTTCATAGTCCAGCTTAAGAAAGTTCAGTGATGGTTCATTCTTGCTGTAAAAAAGTTATTAATTTAGTTCATTTATATACTGTATATAGCCGCTCTGGAGAAAACCGTGATGTCATCGTCCAGCTCAGTTCAGTTCTCATATAACGGTGTCAATGCAGGAAGAGCAATAATGTTGTTGAATATTAAAGGCAGGGTAGGCAGTTTGTTTCTAAAACACTTTTTCCCAAATTTGTTTAAACTGTCTTTATATTCCAATACATATCTAAAATGTAAGTACTCTGAAAAGGAGAGTATAAAAATTGAGTGTCTGTAGTCCTCTCAGGGCTGCAGTAAACACAGCTACTCTTTCCATTCGGAATGAGTGCAATGATTGGCTGGGCGACTGTCACTCTCCCTCGCTACCATGGCAACCACCCCTGCTGCTACAGGAGCCGCCCACATGCGCACGCCCGGTTGACTCGCTCATTTCGAAAGAGGAGAGGCACGCACCGGCCAGAAGCTAGGAAGTCTCACAATTATGGCAGAGAAAGAGCAGTCAAAATCCCTAGTAGCACCTGCACCTGCATATACAGTCAGCGCAGGCAAACAAGGCAAACACAGGTGATGTCACTTCCTGCACTGCGCTCCTCTCCGCTCGGCGCTGGTGAACGCTCCTCCAGCTGAGCGGTCGGCATCACGCGTTCATGTGTTTGGGGGCGTGGCTTTGGAAGAAGCCTAGAAGGGAGGGGAGTTTCTCTGTTGGATACTTTCAAAATCCAGCAGCTTTCTGCTAGTCTCTCAAACTTACCTACCCTGCCTTTAAATGTCCCCAACTAAGCAAGCCAAAAGCGACTAGTATATTGTTTTAGAGACACACAACACAAACCCTAATCTTCAAAAAGCATTATTACTATTTATGAATCATTTTCATTTCTTGACACTCCTGAATGTCCCTACAGAGTTTCTCATCAGTCAGCAGCGGATGCTATGATAACTTTTTCAGGAATGACGACCTCTCAAGACCTTTGAAAAGAACCAGACCAATTTATTGTTGAATTATTGATGGAAGTCCTGCCTTTCGAGGTGCAAGACTAGAGCCCAGCAATGTGTTTAAAAGTGTCATTTGCTAATAAATTGCTGTGATTCTATTCAGGCTCTCACAGCGTTAGTCATGTTCCCTAATTCAGGGGAATAGAGTTAAATGCATAATGCAGACCTTTTGTCAGATTGAAATCCCTTCTGTGGACAGTTGTGTTCCCAAACTAAGCCCATACACACATTTTTGTCTTAAAATGAGGGGCCACAAAAAAATTCCAGCCATTAATAAAGTCATACATTTAAACTACGGCATATAGCTCGGCGGCTAGAGACCTTTTACACGGCAAGGCAGAGTCTTCGAGGGCGATTATTAAAAATGATGATGATGTCAGCAGAGAATCCAACAATTCCCGTTTGAAAGACAGTGGGGGAAGTTCATTTAAACGCACCGTTGTCATGGATGATCTCAAAGATGATTTGATTCTTGAGAAAAGTCTTTCGACACAACAATAAGTCATAGGCAATGTGATCATTATCTTTTAAAGTCTACTCATGAGATGACATCAGGTGTCCAAAACTCCCATGAGGGAAGAGAAACACCTATTTTCCGACGCAGAAGTTGAAAGAAAATGCATTTTTCTGCTTCTTCAAATGAAACACAATAGTGTTCACATGGCATCCTCAGTAGCTTGACTTCTAAAAAAAAAAAACACCAGGCAAACACAGCTAGTGTACATATTGATTTTCTTCTAGAAAGATGAAGTAGGCTCAGATGTAGATGGTACTTTTTCTCATTCACAGTTATCTTTTCATGATTTACTGAAAAAGCGAAAAATTGAAATGTGTGCACCTGTCATCACTGCATTAATGAACTATCAGCAAAGAAGATGACAACAATTGACAAAAATAAAACCGGTTAAAAAACAGCTATTGCAGTTTTACCACGCAGCATTTAGATTTTTTAATCAAGCAATCGATCAGAAATATGGGGGGTTGGCATGTAAATGTCTACTCTACTGGATTTCAGGGGACTATAGAAGTCTTTGTGGCAGTGTGACCGGATTCAGGATTGACTTTGAAACTGGAAAACCAAAAGGTAAAGACAACTTTTGCAGTTAGTGAAATTTTTTAGTAGAAATGGCAGAAATACCTTTTTACATCATGTGTGATGTTTTTGTTCTGCTCTTTCAGATATTGATGAATGTCGTGAGATCCCAGGCGTCTGTGCTCATGGTGTGTGTATGAACCACATGGGCAGTTTCCACTGCGAGTGTCCCACAGGCTTCACGTACAATGACCTGCTGCTCATCTGTGAAGGTCTGATCGCTTCTCTCTCTGTAAGGGGCCGTTCACACAGAAATCTTTATAACTACTGGGCTTATTTAGTGTGGCAATTTCAAGTCTAAGTTCACCGGTTTTCAACCCGCTTTGTTTAAAAATGATATTGTTACACTAGCCAAGTTTCCATTTTTGTTCTGTTTTGTTATCGACAAAGTGAATATGCGTTAAATAAGATTGCGAAATTTGCTGTCTCCAGCCAGTTTCCATCGAATTGGCCTTTTACCGATAAAATGGTATCCGTAATGACGTCATCCCTTATTGTTGTAAAGTTTTGGGTAACACTTTACTTGAAGGGGTGTGCATAAGACTAACATGACACCTTCATAATCATGCCATGACACATGTTATGAATATGAAGGAAGTTTTATGCATGTTTGTGACAACTGTCATTAAGTGTCATTCGCTCAATTATGACATTTTTAATGCAAATATGACATTGTTTGAGATGTCTTTGTTATGACAACTTGACATAAACCAATACATCATAACCTGTCAGTGTCTTTGTCATGACAACTTGACATTACTAAGACAACACAACCTGTCATAAACATGACCTAGCAGATCAATTATCAAACTTAAGAAACCACTTAGCTTTATTGGTTAACATTACATTAAACTGTCAGGTGGTTGGTGTTGACATTGGCTGTCATGAAGCCATTATAACTGTTTAATGACAAATTGAATGTGTACCACTGTAGTTGAGGTCACGAAAAATATTCATGACACAGTTATAATGGCCTCATGACAGCCAATGTCAAAACCAACCACATGACAGTTTAACTTAATTTTAAATGTCAAGTTGTCATCACAAAGACACTGACAGGTTATGATGTTATGGTTTATGTCAAGGTGTCATAACAAAGACATCTTAAACAATGTCATATTTGCATTTAAAATGTCATTATTGAGCGAAAGACACTTAATGACAGTTGTCATAAACATGCATAAACCCTACTTCATATTCATGACATATGTCATGTCATGGTTATGAAGGTGTCATGTCAGTCTTATGTACACCCCTTCAAGTAAAGTGTGTTGTATCACTTATAAAATCAGCCCTCAAATCACTTCCATACATAATTACACGTATATCGCAAATTATATTGTATCTGTCGCATCCCAAATATTTGTAAAATGCAGAGAGTAATGAGACAATTGGAATTCGCCAATTTACTGCTTACTATTTTCACAAATAAAAAGCCTATTACTAAATGAGGAAATATTAGGAAATCAAAAATCCTGGCGTAGTGGGACTGCTGGTCTGACAGGACTGCGTGTAACAGCCTTTATGTGATGAACCCATGGGTTTGGACACAGGGCAGCTCATTTGTCCTGTAGCCTATGCAGAATTTTAGGATCCATAAAAACATTGGTACAGTGAAATGTTTTGTAATATAGCAACAATCTTTAACGCAAGCCTTGAACATGCAGTCAAGGCAGTGATTCAGATCATTCAAACCAAAAAAGTTATTCTTTCTGTTTTCAGAGTTCAATAACATCAAATCGATCAAAAACATCATATTGCTGCTGATTTGTTTTCTTGCGCAAAAAACATTTGCCATCATTTTACTTCCATACAAAACAGTCAATTTTTGACTGTCAAACATTACAATACTCACAGTGGGTCTCATTCACTAATAGTTGTGTGGATTATTTGTATTTATATGCATGAAGATGATCATTTCTTTCACAAAAAAATCTAACAATTCAACACGTGTACACACACATGAATTTGTTCATAACCTTGTTCTAATGTTAATGAGTATTCTAGACTGACCGCCATCCTCAAGACCAGTCTAAACGCATTCATGAAGCCACCGGAGTATATGATTTCTGTGTTCCTTCATTTCATAAAGTTATTGAAGAAGCATCATTTGTTCGTGAAAATGTTCGTATGCAGATTACAGGCACAGATCTGTGTGCACGTGTAAAACTCCTTATCTGACAGGCGGCACTCAAACCACCGGCGAGACACGAGGAACCGCCTTTCATGAGTTGAGTTTATTTCTGTAACACCAGATGAAAGATATTTCCCCTGGCGACACAGTGGGCATTCATATATACACATATATCTAAAAGAACAAGATTCTAGAAATACAAAGGTCAAGCAATCACAATCAATTAATACATTGTTATTACACAACATCAGTAAACTTTCAAATTAACATTAATTGTGAGATTAACATGTATTATTTTACTAGAAAGCCTAATTTTACTGGAGAACATTTCTCACAGGTAAAAGGCAAATGACCCACTAATTACTTAACGTCACCAACAGAGTGACAGTACACAATTATTTTAAATATTTTTTATTCCTTTTTGAAAAGAATTTGAAGATGTCTTCTCATTTTACACTACATTATTTAACAATACCTCCCTCACCCCATTTTCTCCCAAAGATGTAACCAAGGAAAGGGAGAATTAAAACAACAAAAACAAACAAACAGTTTATCACAAGTATTGTAAATACCTTTGTTTCTGATTGACTAAATTGTAGAACTTATACACTTTATCCTTCATGGCAAATCTAATTCTTTCCAACTGCAGATTTGCATGACATCTCTTAACCGAACCGAGTGAGTTGGTGTGTTTGTTTCTTGCCAGTTAAGAAGGATCAGTCTCCGTGCAAGAAGTGTGACAATCCCAGAATGTTGACTCTTTGATTTTGTTATGCGAGCATCCTTAACTCCAGGATCTGGGCCCAAAGGTCTTCCCAAAACGTCTGATAATGTTTTAAAAAATTGCGAACCAATATGTACGACGTATATTTGGACATTTCCAAAACGTATGGGCCAGCGATGCTCCTGTTTGTCCCACACAGTTATTAATTGAACAAAAATGCAGCAATTTGGTTGAAAGATATAACATTTCCTGTGGAAACCAAAATGCAAACCATTGCCATGTTCTCTGGGATTGCTCTGTTATTAAGAATTATTGGAGAGGAATACATAATCCTTTACAATATATTTTTAAATGTGTAATACCATTTGATAGTAAATCCTTATATTTTGGACATATACCTCAAGAATGGTTAAAAAGAGATACATATTTAATGAATATATTGCTGGTGGCTGTAAAGAAGAGCTTTGACACGAGAGCCCTACCCTAAACGCATGGATGGAAATTACAATGGACATGTACAAATTGGAGAAGATAACAGCATTTGTAAATCATAAACTGGAACAATTTGCTTTATGCTGGGATAAATGGACCAAATATGCAACATCTCAAAGGCCTGATTTTATTTTCTAGTTAATATCCAGAATACCCAGAAAAACTATTCCCTACATGTACATAGTTCTTTTCTCGTTTTTGTTGTTTTGTAAAAAAAAAAATATAAAAAAAGTTTATAGTTCTGATGAATAAATGTACGGCAAACTCGACTATATGGTGTATGTATGTGCATATATTTGTATGTTGTGTGTGTATGTTTTTTGATATGAGGATACTCGATACAGTATCTGAGGTACATCTGATTGAAGTGTAATGTTTATATGAGAAAAAGTAAATACAATTTAAAAAAAGAAAGAAATATCATTTCCAATAACGCTTTTAACCCTGTTCATGTGGATGGTCAGTGACTGCGAGCCTCTGTGATGTGTGTGTGTGTTGTGTGTTCAGACGTTGACGAGTGCAGCAGTGGAGAGCGAGTGTGTCAGAGGAATGCAGACTGCATCAACCGTCCGGGTGGCTATCAGTGTGAGTGTGCTGATGGGTACGGACTCACGCCCCACGGGGCCTGTGCTGGTGAGAGGACCCCACACACACACACACACACACACACACACACACACTGCCTTCATGAGCTAGTAGGAAATGAGTTCACCTTATTAAAACACAAATTGGAAGATATTATCTGGAAGTCACTGAGAACAGTCTCATGTCTGCGAGTGAGAGCTCCCACTCAGCATTTCCAAATGTCTCCAATCACTGTTAATCATGCAAGTTATCTTAAAAGAGTTGTGGGTGTTTGTAATTTGAGTCTGTCATCTCTGTTCCTCCATGAAGACCGTAACGAGTGTGTGGAGACGCCCAGCGTGTGTCGTCATGGTGACTGTGTGGACATTGCAGGAGGATACGAGTGTATGTGCCACACCGGCTTCACAGCCACGCTGAACCGCAGGATGTGTGTGGGTAAGACCTCTTCATATCACATCTACTCCATGAGGACCAGTGCCCTCTCAGGGCTGCTGTGTTTCCCCAGAGCGGTTTACTGTACAGCCAGTGTTTTATCTCCCGCAGATGCTGATGAGTGTTCACGCCAGCCGTGTGGGAATGGCACATGCAAAAACTCGATTGGCTCTTTCAACTGTCTCTGTCATCCAGGGTTTGAGCTCGCCAGTAATAACTACTGTACAGGTAATGATGTTGCTCCCTTACACATGTTTACTGTTGATTTGTATAGTACATTTGGTCCCACTTTATATTAAGTGGCTTTAAGTACTATGTACTTGCATCGAAAAATAAGTATTAATGTACTTATAAGTGAAAAATATGTGTTCATGTTGTATTGTAAAACACTTTTGCTGCTATTAAGGTGTGATACGGGTCAGGTTAGGGTCAGGTGTGTGTGGGCTGGTTTAAGGGTCGGTTAAGGTGTAAAGAAAGGGTCAATCGGTAATTATAAAGGTAATTACATAAATTAAATACAGCTGTAATTACATGCAGGCATTTTTAAAATATAAGTACAATGTAAAAACATGTATGTACACAATAAGTACATGGTATCAAATTATTAATTTCAATGTAAGTACATACAGTAGTACTTAAAGCCACTCAATATAAAGTGGGACCCTTTTTTTTTCAACTTGTGTAGGAACTTTCTGAAGCTTTTTTCTCTGCAGGTTTTTGAAACGTGATCAGCTAGTAGTGAAAGATGCTGATGAAAGCTCTTGTGTTCTGTAGATGTTGACGAGTGTGCAGTTTTGCCCTCTCGGCTCTGCAGGAACGGCCGGTGTGTTAACAGCATCGGCTCCTTCCACTGCCTCTGTGGAGAGGGTTATGAACTCAGCCTCGACGCCAAGACCTGTATAGGTGAATTCATTTATACTTATTATTAACTGTGAAGTCTGCCATGTATTATGTGCAGTGCTAGGTAGATTTTTCACAAACTGTAGTTTATTACTGATTACATATTACATGAAGAAAATTGTAGTTTTAAATGTTTATATTATATATATATATACACTCACCGGCCACTTTATTAGGTACACCTGTCCAACTGCTCGTTAACACTTAATTTCTAAGCAGCCAATCACATGGCGGCAACTCAGTGCATTTAGGCATGTAGACATGGTCAAGACAATCTCCGGCAGTTCAAACCGAGCATCAGTATGGGGAAGAAAGTTGATTTGAGTGACTTTGAACGTGGCATGATTGTTGGTGCCAGAAGGGCTGGTCTGAGTATTTCAGAAACTGCTAATCTACTGGGATTTTCACGCACAACCATCTCTAGGGTTTACAGAGAATGGTCCGAAAAAGAAAAAAACATCCAGTGAGCGGCAGTTCTGTGGGCGGAAATGCCTTGTTGATGCCAGAGGTCAGAGGAGAATGGCCAGACTGGTTCGAGCTGATAGAAGGGCAACAGTGACTGAAATAACCACTCGTTACAACCGAGGTATGCAGCAAAGCATTTGTGACCGATCACGGAAACTAGGGACACAAGTCGGTTCTTCGGCATTTTGAGTTATTCATAGATTCTGAAAGTGTAGTCTCCAAGCTTTCCAACGATGTGTAACACGTGGAAATCTGATAATATTTGGAGAAGTTGTGGCCATTTGAAGGTAGGAACTCAAAAAAGGTAAAATGGGAGAAAACGGCCTCAAAAGATTGTGCATTCTCACCTCTCTCTCCTGCTGGGAGTGACAATAGGGCTCATTTACATCTCATTTAGATAAGCCATACCCCCTGTAAAGCTCCCCCTGTGCTTTACAGCTTTTTTTTCTTTCCTGAGCTAGCTAATAACAATAGGTAGGTATGGGAAGGTCTAAACAGACTAAACATGAGATAACATGTACGTGTTCTTAGAATTAAAACAAAACGACAAACTTTAATGCTTAATGCAAACTCACCCCCAGGACCGGCGAATGCACTTCTGCCGCTCTAGGCGAAAAACAATTGTGCTGCCCCTCTATTTGCAACGTTTACCAGCAACAACACACAAAGACCAATATGCCATATACATATAACGCAAAACCAGCAACAACACACAAAGACCAATAAGCCATAGGCCTACATATAACGCAAATAGTGCGCAACGCGCGTGTGCCCAAAATGTCAACAATATTAAAGTTTATGCAGGAGGTAAATGCCTGCTGGCATTTTTCTTTAAGCAGTCATGACAGGAATTTTCCAAATAATCATATTTCCTCCTCAGATTACTGTTGCAAATCTCTTTACACCACTTTCTTATGTGCGTATACACACACAAATGAAATGTCCGCAAGCACATTAGATCATCAGCAGGTTCAGCATCTTAAATAACGACTAGAGAGCAAATGAAGCTTAACTTACGTTTCAGAAACGCGCACGGCAGGCCTTCATCGCAGCAAAGGTCTTAACTGCATCCTCTATTTCGATTCTCTGTGCCAGTTCATGTTCTATGGAGATTGTTGCCAGTCCATTAAGTCTGTTCCCTGTTCACAAAACGTTCCCCATTCAAAGCAATCGGGACATCACATATGAAACAGTTAGCCACCGCTGTCAGCGAGCCGAGCCGCCGTATTCAAGCACCGAGGGCGCGCGCGCCGCGCCCATACCTCCGGTTCAGTTTCCCGAGCCCACAAAGTGCGGCGAAAACATTTTCGGTGTAACTGCCACGCTTCAGCTCGTCTGCGACAATCTTTGCGGCGTCCATCTTCATTGAATTTTGATATCAGATAGAGCCGGCCAGAGCGCTGCATATTAAGTAGCCACGCTGTTGGGGGGCGGGGGCAAAAGCGCCGGCGGCTATTCAGTATGGAAATACACACAGACAATGACACGCCCCTACTGCATGCTAGAATCTCCGAAAAACAAGCCGATTTCAACCTCAAAATGTACGCTTTTAAATATACCAATACTGTTATCTCAAACATGTAGAGGCTTCTTCATGATCTCAACTAACAGATTCTGCAAAAAAGCGGAAATCACCAATTTTGGAAAAAAACGCTTCTTTCTCATTTTGCTCGCAAGTTGTGCTGCCGACTTGTGTCCCTGGTTTCCGTGACGGGTCACATTTGTGAAGCCACAACACGCACAACCTTGAGGCGGATGGGCTACAACAGCAGAAGACTCCACCGGGTACCACTCATCTCTACTACAAATAGGAAAAAGAGGCTACAATTTGCAAGAGCTCACCAAAATTGAACAGTTGAAGACTGGAAAAATGTTGCCTGGTCTGATGAGTCTCGATTTCTGTTGAGACATTCAGATGTTAGAGTCAGAATTTGGCGTAAACAGAATGAGAACATGGAACCATCATGCCTTGTTACCACTGTGCAGGCTGGTGGTGGTGGTGTAATGGTGTGGGGGATGTTTTCCTGGCACACTTTAGGCCCCTTAGTGCCAATTGGGCATCGTTTAAATGCCACGGCCTACCTGAGCATTGTTTCTGACCATGTCCATCCCTTTATGGCCACCATGTACCCATCCTCTGATGGCTACTTCCACCATGTCACAAAGCTCTAATCATTTCAAATTGGTTTCTTGAACATGACAATGAGTTCAGTGTACTAAAATGGCCTCCACAGTCACCAGATCTCAACCCAATAGAGCATCTTTGGGATGTGGTGGAACGGGAGATTCGCATCATGGATGTGCAGCCGACAAATCTGCGGCAACTGTGTGATGCCATCATGTCAATATGGACCAAACTCCCTGAGGAATGCTTCCAGCACCTTGTTGAATCTATGCCACGAAGAATTGAGGCAGTTCTGAAGGCAAAAGGGGGTCCAACCCGTTACTAATGGGGTACCTAATAAAGTGGCCGGTGAGTGTATATATATATATATATATTATATATATATTATTCTGTTCTTTATCAACTAGATGAAGTGCACTAAACAGCACAGTATATAAGGTTTCCCAGTCTGGGGTGGAGGATCTGCAGGGGGTTGTTTGATACAAAGCTAATAATTAATTAAATCTTAAAAATTTCAAATTACAATTTTAATTAATTATTTAAAACTAAAAACGATTTCTAAAAAAGATTCAACAAATTAATTTGTTTACCTACATGTCTTGTGACCATTAACCGACATCCGAGATCCTAATTATTGAAATATTATCTCAGGGGTGCTTCAAGTAAATATTGTAAATCAAAGGTGTTTGGCTGACAAAAAAGTAATTTACTGCCATTGTGTGAATAATGTAATCATGTAATCCAAAAAAAAATGACAAGTACTTATTTTTTGTAAGCTGATTATGTAACCCAGATGACACATGACCAGTTGCTGTCTATGATCAGACTAAAGTGTCCATCTGAGACTCCTCGTATTTACACTTCTATCCTAAGCCACTTACAATCATAATTCATAGTGTTATCTATACATATACCGGTAGTTCTGTTATCTACCATTGTTTTCATGTGAAATAAACAACGATACTGACAAATTAATAACAATATAGATATTCAGTGTAATTGGACACTGTTATTATGTTCTAGGATTCGTAGACTGACGGGAGTCCTGTGACAATATCATGAGTGTCTGTCTTGTGTTTTGGTAAATGCAGATGTTAACGAGTGTGTTATGATTCCTGGGATATGTGCTCCTGGAACCTGTGTGAATCTGGATGGCTCTTTCAGATGTGTGTGTCCTGATGGGTATATCGTCCACAGTGAGCACTGTGTAGGTAAGAGCTGGGATGCCCAGTAAGAGGTTACACACCTGTGCAATATCACTGAAATGTCAAATGATTCAAAATGGTATCACTTCTCCAATGCATAAACATGTTAGTAAAGTGACCTGTGAACGCCAGAACTTTCTCAGTCTTATACTTATTGTCCGAATTCTGAGACAGACAGAGATTGTGAGACAGAAAAAATCTGATTGTGTTGAGACTTCTCAACTACAGGAAGATCAGTGACCAACTGAAACATACTGGTAGTGTCTGCAGTATCAGGGGGAATAAATCTGCCAAAGTATCACTAATCAGAGTTGGAAATGATGCCCCGAAAAAGTGCACATCTAAATCCCTCAAGAATACGACGTGTGACGCGAGTCCGACAGAACACCTTTAGATAGTTCACTATAGCAACACAACCTCCAGTGAAGCGCTGCTGAGGAATGGCAGGACATCCCAGACAGCAACACCACATTGATACAATGTTGAGTTTGGACCTAAACCATCATTCTGGGTGAGATTGACATCTCAACGTTTAAAGAATGTTGGATCAGCATTGAGGTTTATCTGTAAGTGGACTGCACACGGGTGGAGACGGTGGCATTGAACGAACAGTGATGTGTAGTGATGAGCACCAGATCATGCAGGCATGTGTCTCTGCAGAACACCAGTGGCTGCTTCTCAACTAAACCAGGCCTGCGTTCCAGTCCAAAGTGGTCATGCCTTTCACTCGGTAGCTTCCCTCCGTCTCGTTCACTCGGACGTGCGTCATTGCTTACACTGCATGAGTGCCACCGCTGGCGGAGCCTTTGCTATGGGCTGAGGTGCAATTCTGCATTTGCATTTGCCTATCCAGGCCGTATCCAGATCTGATGAAGGACCTGCGCCTGTACACGACGACAACGCAGTCCTGAAGTGTCACTAGTCCCTCCCTGTGAAGGCCTCCTTCCCTTTACCTCTGTACAGATAATCGTTGTCGATTATAGAGAGAATTTAAGAGTTTTCTGTTAAAACGGTTTTCTGTTAAAACCCCCCATGATGCGCATAAGAGATTAGTGATGGGTCATTCATGAACAAGTTCATTGCGTCTGTCACGTGACAAATGATCGAAAGACTCGGAAGGTAAAGTAAATATTTATGTTCCCTGTAAATTATCTTTGGCTGTATTATAACAATTTCTGAATTCAAAATATGATCAAGATTGCGTAGGTGGATGTGTTCGACTGTATCTTTGAAACTGGCCTCCAAATTGCAAAGGCCTCTGAATGTTGATTCACTGACATGGCATTACCATTGATTTTTGTTGTTGTTGAAATCTTACCATTGTTTCAACATTAATTGTGGTTGCAAAAGTGATATTGAACCAACATCATTTCATAGTGTGATTTAATGACATTATCATACATTTTTTTTGTTAAAATATCACCATTGTTTCAACATTAATTGAGGGTGCAAATGTGATATTGAACCAATATAACTTTGTAATGCAAATTAAATGCAATTTGTGTTGCCATATCAACATTGATTGCCCAATGATTGCTTAATATGTGGGATCTCTGAAACACTGGTGCCCTTCATGCCGGGGAGGACTGTGTCATGATCAAGGAGACGGAAGCAAGGATGCAAGTAAAACTCTTTATTGAATTGAGGAAAGTTCAAATGTTCGTGGTTCTCATGAAGACTGGTGGGACAAGATGGTCAGCAATCCGGTTGAAGAAGTGATGAGATGATGAAGTAGTGAATGGTGATGTAATCCAGATCCGGAGCGTGAGCCAGAAGAACAAAGACAGGAACAAGAGCACGAACAGCAACGCCGACTGGGACTGGCAGATTAATACGAGAATGAAACACGGGCTTAACTTTGGATACATGAAAGACGGGATGAATCCTCCTGTACGCCGGAGGCAAGTTGAGGCGGACTGCCACTGGACTAATGATCTTGGTGACAGTGACCGGGCCAATACATTTGGGAGCAAGTTTAAAATATTGGTGGCTGGTAACCTAAACTACACTCAAACGGAGATAGGCCCATGGACGACACTGGTAACGCGTTGTGGGCGTACTCCACCATGGACAGTTGCTGGCTCCATGAGCAAGGATTTTTGGAAACCAAACATCGCAACACCCTCTCCAGATCCTAGTTGGCTCTCTCGGTTTGGCCATTACTCTGGGGATGAAACCCTGAAGACAGGCTAACAGTCGCTCCCAGTAACTTACAAAACTCTCGCCAAAATTTGGACACAAACTGGGGTCCCCTGTCGGAGACCACGTCCATCGGGAGGCCATGTAAGCGAAAGACGTGATCTACGACTGTCAACGCTGTCTCCTTAGCTGAAGGTAATTTGGGTAAGGGAATAAAGTGAGCCGCCTTCGAGAACCGGTCCACCACGGTCAAAACGACCATGTTACCCTCAGAGGGCAGGAAATAAAATCTAGTGCGATATGGGACCGATTCGACCTCCCATACGAGTGTGGAGATAAATAGAGTCTCAGGTAAAATACACTCGGGAGTAGACCGGCGTTCGGAACAATAAAAAATGTGTGACAAAGAATCGGGTTTAATGTTCTTGGAACCCGGGCGGTACGAGAGAGTAAAATCAAAACGTCCGAAAAAAAGTGCCCACCGAGCCTGCCTGGAGTTCAATCTTTTGGCGGTTTTAATGTATTCCAAATTCTTATGATCGGTCCAGGCGATGAAATGTACCCCCGACCCTTCTAACCAGTGACGCCATTCCTCCAACGCTAACTTGACTGCCAACAACTCTCTGTTACCAATGTCATAATTGCGTTCGGCAGGAGACAAACGATGAGACAAAAACGTGCACGGATGCATCATGTCGTCTGTGGGAGAACGCTGGGATATCACTGCACCTACCCCCACCTCTGACGCATCGACCTCCACCACGAACTGACGTGATGTATCAGGGGTAATGAGTCAAGTCAAGTCAAGTCATCTTCATTTATATAGCGCTTTTAACAATGGAGATTGTTTCAAAGCAGCTTTACAGAGATAAATATACAATTTACGGTAACAGAGATTGTTTTGGCTTTATAGCAATTTTGAATAATGTTATTTCCAGCTAAAGTTGGTTTTGATTGATTCACTTCCAGCAAAATTATTATTTGTTATTACATTAGGGGCCACTAAGACGACGGCGTTCTCTCTAAACAGACTTTAAACGCGAACCTGTGACCTGATGGCGTTCACATGCGCATTAAAAATTTATTCTATAGTTATATTCGTTTGAATATGTGTGCGCAGGTTTGTAATTTCCCTACAAACCATGCCTAAACAAACTACTTGTCTTGCCTATAAATTTGATACAGAATTTTATTTTATCACTTCGGGGTACGCGAACCGGATTTTCAACAACGCTTTATCTGTAGAGTGGGAAAGGGATCCTCCATAGGGAGAGGATAGTTGACACTTCAGCACTGCATTGTCATCGGGTCCAGGCGAATCTCCTTCGTCAGATCTGGATACGGCCTGGATCCGGCAGGCTGCAGGAAAACCTCGGGATAAACAAAGACACTAAAGTTAGCGTAGATGCCATTCTTCTTATGATGTAACGAGTACATCTGGATTTAAGGGAAGTGTTCCCAGTTCCGGCTGACCTAATCTATGCAGCCTAACATTGAATTATCGAAGTCTATAATGTATTATGTGTATGCTAGGTCAAAGAGATGTGTTTTTAGTCTAGCTTTGAACTGACAGAGTGTGTCTGCTTCCCGGACAATGGTAGGAAGACTGTTCCAAAGTTTTGGTGCTAAATAGGAAAAGGATCTACCGCCAGCAGTCGATTTTGATATTCTAGGTATTATCAACTGGCCGGAATTTTGAGATCGCAATAGACGTGAAGGACTATAATGCTTTAAAAGCTCACTCAAGTACTGCGGAGCTAAACCATTTAGTGCTTTGTAAGTAATCAACAATATTTTAAAACTTATACGATGTTTAATAGGCAGCCAATGCAGCAGTGTTAACAGAACCGGGCTAATATGGTCATATTTCCTGGTTCTGGTAAGAACTCGAGCTGCTGCGGAGGGGGCTGAATGAGGATGGGGGCTGAAACAAAGCGGCCTTTCAGTTTGGCAAATGCGGCCTCAGCTGCGTCTGACCACCTGAACGTAGTCAAATCCCAGAAACCTGTGTAGGGCCTTACGGGAATCTGGACTTGGCCAATCCACCACAGCCTTAACCTTCTCAGGATCTTATACGTATTCCCTCAGTCGACACAATGTATCCTAGGAAAGAAACAGACTGTGCATGAAAAGCGCATTTCTCCGCCTTGACAAAAAGCCCATTCTCTAGCAATCTCTGAAGCACTCGCCGAACGTGCTGAACGTGTTCCTGGAGAAAAGATGAAAATATCAATATGTCATCCAGGTAAACATACATGAACTGATCAACCATATCTCGCAGCACGTCGAGTGCCTGGAAGACTGCTGGGGAGTTGGACAAACCAAAAGGCATGACCAAGTATTGAAAGTGCCCCCTAGGGGTGTTAAAAGCAGTCTTCCACTCATCCCCCTTCCTGATGTGGACCAAATGATAAGCGTTACGTAAGTCCCTGCAACCTCTCGAAGGCTGAAGACATCAACGACAAAGGATAGGTATTCTTTACTGTGATGCTGTTCAACCCTTGGTAATCAATACAAGGTCGCAGAGATCCGTCCTTCTTCCCCACAAAAAAGAACCCCGCCCCCGCTGGAGAAGAGGAATGGTGGATGAATCCTGTTGCTAGAGAAATCAGAAATATATTTCTCCATAGCCTCCCTCTCTGGAACAGAGAGCGAATATAACTTGCCTTTAGGCGGAGACTTACCTGGCAGTAATTCTAAAGCACAGTCATAGGGACGATGCGGAGGAAGAGAAGCAGCACGAGACTTACTGAACACCTCCTTCTGGTCTAGGTACTCCGCGGGCACGTTAGATAAATCCACTGCCTCCTCCTGAAACACAGAGACAGCAACAGACGAACAGGCAGACACAAGACAGGAATCATGACATTTACTGCTCCACTCCAACACTGATCTTTGCTGCCAGTCAATTTTAGGATTGTGATCGATGAGCCAGGGGTGTCCAAGAACAATGGGTGCGAGGGGAGAGTCCAGTATCTAAAATGAAAGTGTCTCAGAGTGGTTGCCTGACGTGATGAGTGTGACGGGTCCGGTGATGAGGGAGATAATGGGTAGATCTTGACCGTTGAGTGCATGTACGACTATCTTACGGGTGAGGGGTAAGAGGGGAACTTGAAATCAGTGCGCAAATGAATGGTCCATGAAGTTACCTTCAGCCCCAGAATCCACCAGTGCTTGACAGTCGTGATTGTGGGCTGACCATCTTAGTCTTACCGGGAGGAGCGTAGATGTTGATGAGGTCTTCTCAGCAGATATCCCACCCGACAGTAGCCCAATACTTACTGTCGGGCTTGGCCTTTTACTGGACAGTTATAAGCGTAGTGTCCCGCTGCTCCTTGGGATCTCCGCCTTTACTTCTCCTCCCGGGAAAGCAGAGCTCGCCCGACCTGCATGGGCTCGTGATCGTAGACGGGGCTGACCGGCTGGATCAAAAACTCTCTTCATCTCGGCGGAGAGTGTCTGGAACGAGGCGCAGCATGGATCCTGGTTCTCCCACACCGCCGTCCCCCATAGCGCAGCTTTCCCAGTCAATAGAGTAAGCACAAATGCAACCTTGGATTGCTCGTTGCAAAAGGTTCTAGGCTGCAGAGAGAAATGCATTGAGCAACGAGTTAAACATGCTCTACAAAAGCTTGGCTCACCGTCATAGGATTGCGGAACAGGTAGGCGGGGCTCTGACTGAGAAGCGCTCTCCGGTGGGGTGGGGGGAACGGCCGGTGAGGGTGGCGCAGTGGGAGCTCGCAGCTGTTGTAATTGCTGGGTGAGCTCGGACACCTGCGTCACCAGTGCTTGAACAGCCCGTGCCGTGTCGTTCAGATTCTTCTCCTGATTGTCCATGCGCAGAATACTGGAGTTAACAAAATCCTCCCGTTGGAAGTGGATTACTCGCTGCTTCCATTTGCAGGTCAGATCGTTCTGTCATGATCAAGGAGACGGAAGCAAGGATGCAAGTAAAACTCTTTATTGAATTGAGGAAAGTGTTAACCAAATGTTCGTGATTCTCAGGAAGACTGGTGGGACTAGATGGTCAGCAATCCGGTTGAAGAAGTGATGAGATGATGAAGTAGTGAATGGTGATGTAATCCAGATCCGGAGCGTGAGCCAGGAGAACAAAGACAGGAACAAGAGCACGAACAGCAACGCCGACTGGAACAGGACCAACACACACGAAGGACATCAAACAACGATCTGACAAAGAGAGGAGAGTGCGATAAGTATTTAAAGGTGAGTGAATAGGATGCAGCTTGTGAGAGGAGTACGATCAGCTGGATCGCTAATCAACTGGAACGAGTGGTAACGCCCACTCGCACACACACACACACACACAACAACAGCAACACAAGACAAGAAGGAAACAATGAATTCATGAACCATGACAGACTGAGTCTGAACACACATATTGAGGCACTGAACACATTAACAGTTTTGTGAATCTCAGTAATGAAAGGTTGACTTATTTTTTGTTGAATTAAGTTTATACTATGGGTAATGATATTTAAGTGATATTGCACAGGGTTTTGTTGTTTAATGTATGAAATCTTGTTTTATTCTACTATACATGACCACTTTAATTAGTCTTGATATCATTGGATACCTCACTCTCATGTCGTTATGATTTTCAATGACTTTCTTTGTTTTGTGGAGTTGGGGGGAAAAGCACCCTAAAAATATTTTTGTAAAAATTGGTCCCTATATACTTTAAGTATTTGTCTTTGTGAGAACAGGCTAAATCTCTCTGAAAATCTGCACATCCTCCCCAGCTTTCCTTGGCATGTTCATGTGAGTTAGTAGTGACATCTAATTCATGAACACATTATTCTCAGATCTTTATTCTGTTGATCCACAATACGAGTCCATGATCTGGTTCAAAGTCATATGTATGATACTTTTATGGTGCTTTTGTGTCCGTTTTAAAGCATATTCGCAATTTCTTCTTGAGAGTAAGAGGGAGAGAGTCATACGTGTGTGTGTGTGTGTGTGTGTGTGTGTGTGTGTGTGTGTGTGTGTGTGTTTGTGTATGTGTGTTTGTGTGTGTGTGTGTGTGTGTGTGTGTGTGTGTGTGTGTGTGTGTGTGTGTGTGTGTGTGTGTGTGTGTGTGTGTGTGTGTGTGTGTGTGTGTGTGTGTGTGTGTGTGTGTGTGTGTGTGTGTGTGTGTGTGTGTCAGATGTGAACGAGTGTTCGGAGGAGCCCGGCATCTGTGCGTACGGCTCCTGTTTCAACAGTCTGGGCAGCTTTGAGTGTGTGTGTAAACCTGGATTTGTGCTGTCAGAAGATCGACGCAGATGTTACGGTAATTCATCATAACCCTGTTTATCTGACTAAACTTAAACGGGTGAAAATGTCTGGTTTATATTTTACCCATAATTAACAGAAAAAAATAAGAAATTATTTTTTAAAAAGCCCATTAGGACCATTATTAATGACCTGATTACACATTACTGAAACTGACTGCACTAAGCTGTTGTTGTTGTTTTGTTTGTTTGTTTTTTTGCCTTTGAATTAATTTTAGAATGTATAAAGCCTATGCAATTTTGGTTACACTTTATTTTGTTTGTCTATAAGTAACTTTGCAACTACAAGTCAACCAACACTTATTCAAGTAGAGGCTGTAGTAGACTGTTAGTAGACTGTAGTTGTTAAGCTACAGAATTAATAAAGTGGACTATAGAACGATAGTTTTACAAAAATGTGTTTTCCAGTTTCTTCTGTAATAGAATAGCGTTCTGTTGCATGTGGTCATTTGAGGATGTCTTAAAATAGGATGATTTTTCTCCTTGTGAAAGGAACTGCAATGCTCTGGTATGCTTGATTCTGATTGGCTGACGGACAAACGTTCAGAGCTGTTTATTAATTAATTAATTTAGGTCCATGTCTCGACTGCTTTACAGTTCCAGATAACTTCCATCTCATAACACCTCCAACCAACAATTCATCCCATGCATTTGATTTTCTATCTCAAACTTTACAATTATTGGAAATGTGCTGTTTAATTATACAAAATAAAGCATTGTCAAAATAAGGAAATTACAATAAAATATGATGGTTAGACAAACCATTGCTGTATTGCTAAGGGCCATACGCAGAAACTAACACATGCGCTCACTTGCACATGCAGAATTGTAACCCTGTCTCGCAACTGAATTCAATATTTTTTAGTCCTGAAAACTTAAATGACATTTTTCAGTAGTGGTACTTTTTGAAGTAGTTAAACTAGCATGTTTGCTGACTCTGCTGAGTGACTCATGCTTTCTCTCCAATAACTCCATACAGGAGCTTCTGTTAGTAGTTATAAACTGACATTGTTTCTAACAAAAACATGAAATAAAAGAAATGTCTTGAAATAAAACATTGTGATTCCTCACATAATGCTTATGGGTCTTCCTGCTGTTTGTTGTGCCAGACACTAGAGAGAGCTTCTGTTTCACACGCTTTGAGAATGGCAAGTGCTCTGTCCCGCAGGCGTTCAACGCCAGCAAAGCCAAGTGCTGCTGTAGCCTCCTGGCCAGAGCGGGCTGGGGCGACCCCTGCGAGCTGTGCCCCAAACTGCAGCACGGTACCCAAGCTCTCCTCCTTCATCATCACCACCATCATCATCAGCACCACTGCGCTCTCACGGCTTCATGCTTCGTGTGTGTGTGTGTGTGTGTGTGTGTTCACAGCTGCATTTCAGGATCTGTGTCCGTTCGGCCATGGGATCGTCCCTGGTGTCGGGGACACGCGTGAAGGTACTGTGGACTATACGTCTTTTGATTCTTGTAGACTGGTATAACAGTGGGTTGTAAATTAATATTAAAATAATGTAATATCTTACTTTAATGCATTAAGAAGACACACTGATTGTCTTTTGCAAAGAAATCATTAAAAACATTAACCCCAGCTGTACAGATTGACCCGCCGTATCGCTGTGTGTCTCAGACTTGAACGAGTGTGTGGAGAATCCCGAGATCTGTGTGAACGGCCGCTGCATCAACACGGACGGCTCCTTCCGCTGCGAGTGTCCCGCGGGATACACACTCCACCACACAGGCACACGCTGTGACGGTGAGAGAGCGACCACATCTGACCCTCCACTAAACCGTTTCACTTCAAGAGGGAATGTATTCCACTCCAAATATGAATGTGTTATGCTAATAAATGCTTTATTAGAATAATAAAGAGGATAACACTTAAGAGCATATTTAACAGTTTTAGTTATATTATTGGACAAATAAATATTGACATTTTGCTAAATGTCTTCTTTTATGTCATTATTGTAATATTTATGTGAATATGTCTCAATGTTGACTGTAGCGGTGATCATGGCTGAGGTCAGTCTCTGTTGTTTCTGCTCCGCTTCAGTGTCTCTCTCTGTCTGCGCTCCTGAAGTCACTGCTCAGTATCGCATGAAGCTGTGCTCTGCTCAGAAAATCTCTCTGAAAATCAGTGACTTCAGGTTCTGCAGTTTACTGAGAGTTTGTGGATATATTTTATTAGACATTAAGACACTGTATGTTTGTACAATAGCCTACACAATGATATGAATGAAACCATGATTTCAGGCCTCTGTGGTTTACTCTGTATTTCTCACTCCAGCTGAACTTGCGTGATATTAAGCTGTTCTTTTGGTTTACATTCAACATGTTCTCTTGATAAATGTTTCTTTTTTAAAACAACACTAAGAAAAACACACTAAGTAATCACTTTGTGGTACAATAAAAATTATATATATATATATATATATATTTGACATATGCTATCAAAAATAGACTAGTTGGCAGTCTGCCACCCAAAGCAAGACTATAGTGAAATAATTGTAGTGCGAGGTCAGGTGAATACACATGGATTGGATGAACAGATTTTTCTGAACCATTAAATCTATATTTCAACTGGGAAATAAGCTATTATCAAATTTGTCAACATGTCCAGCCAACAGCTTTCTGTTCTCTGTGTGTGTGCAGATATTGACGAGTGTTCAGTGGGAAACCCGTGTGGAAACGGCTCATGCTCAAATGTGATTGGAGCTTTTGAGTGTGTGTGTGAGGAGGGGTTTGAGCCCGGACCAATGATGAGCTGTGAAGGTCAGCTGACCAAAACACCTGCACTTCTTCATTAAGCCAGCGTTCAGTGCACTCAAAGAGCTGCTGTGTAACAGACGTGTATGATGTTATCTTTCATAATGTTCTCTTTTGCCTATATTTGACAATGCTGCCTATTGATTTGAACTAAATTAGTTACATGATATTCCAATTAATTAATCAAATTACAGTAGTCAACATTTGAAGTGGATCAAAAAAGTTCCTCAAAGTTGTCCTAAGACAAGAACGGGTATTGTTCAAAATTCATGTATAACTTTGATGAAAGGTTTTGATCCACTTCAAACGTTGACTACTGTAAATATCAAAATCAATATTTGCTGTGAATAGCCCCCAAATGAAGTTAATTCAAATGCATGGCATTATTTGTGGCAAATGAATGAATCATTGAATAGTTAAACATTTGCTTAGAAGTCAGTATATGCATACACATGATCAGGCCTACAGTAAACCTCCCTCTAATGACCCTGTTCATACGGATGCGCATCTTTGACTGATTGTGTGTCCTCACCGATTGTGTGTCATGACCGATTGTGTGTCATGACTGATTGTGTGTCCTCACCGATTGTGTGTCATGACTGATTGTGTGTCCTCACTGATTGTGTGTCATGACTGATTGTGTGTCCTCACCGATTGTGTGTCATGACCGATTGTGTGTCATGACTGATTGTGTGTCCTCACCGATTGTGTGTCATGACTGATTGTGTGTCCTCACTGATTGTGTGTCCTCACCGATTGTGTGTCATGACCGATTGTGTGTCCTCACCGATTGTGTGTCATGACTGATTGTGTGTCCTCACCGATTGTGTGTCATGACCGATTGTGTGTCATGACCGATTGTGTGTCCTCACCGATTGTGTGTCATGACCGATTGTGTGTCATGACTGATTGTGTGTCCTCACTGATTGTGTGTCATGACCGATTGTGTGTCCTCACCGATTGTGTGTCATGACCGATTGTGTGTCCTCACCGATTGTGTGTCATGACTGATTGTGTGTCCTCACCGATTGTGTGTCATGACTGATTGTGTGTCCTCACCGATTGTGTGTCATGACTGATTGTGTGTCCTCACCGATTGTGTGTCATGACCGATTGTGTGTCCTCACCGATTGTGTGTCATGACCGATTGTGTGTCATGACTGATTGTGTGTCCTCACTGATTGTGTGTCATGACTGATTGTGTGTCCTCACTGATTGTGTGTCATGACTGATTGTGTGTCCTCACCGATTGTGTGTCATGACTGATTGTGTGTCATGACTGATTGTGTGTCCTCACTGATTGTGTGTCATAACTGATTGTGTGTCCTCATTGATTGTGTGTCCTCACCGATTGTGTGTCATGACTGATTGTGTGTCCTCACTGATTGTGTGTCCTCACTGATTGTGTGTCCTCACTGATTGTGTGTCCTCACCGATTGTGTGTCCTCACTGATTGTGTGTCATGACTGATTGTGTGTCCTCACTGATTGTGTGTCCTCACTGATTGTGTGTCCTCACTGATTGTGTGTCCTCACCGATTGTGTGTCCTCACTGATTGTGTGTCATGACTGATTGTGTGTCCTCACTGATTGTGTGTCCTCACTGATTGTGTGTCCTCACTGATTGTGTGTCCTCACTGATTGTGTGTCCTCACTGATTGTGTGTCCTCACTGATTGTGTGTCCTCACCGATTGTGTGTCCTCACTGATTGTGTGTCCTCACTGATTGTGTGTCCTCACTGATTGTGTGTCCTCACCGATTGTGTGTCATGACTGATTGTGTGTCCTCACTGATTGTGTGTCCTCACTGATTGTGTGTCCTCACTGATTGTGTGTCCTCACCGATTGTGTGTCCTCACTGATTGTGTGTCATGACTGATTGTGTGTCCTCACTGATTGTGTGTCCTCACTGATTGTGTGTCCTCACTGATTGTGTGTCCTCACTGATTGTGTGTCCTCACTGATTGTGTGTCATGACTGATTGTGTGTCCTCACTGATTGTGTGTCCTCACTGATTGTGTGTCATGACTGATTGTGTGTCCTCACTGATTGTGTGTCCTCACTGATTGTGTGTCCTCACCGATTGTGTGTCATGACTGATTGTGTGTCCTCACTGATTGTGTGTCCCCACTGATTGTGTGTCATGACTGATTGTGTGTCCTCACTGATTGTGTGTCCTCACTGATTGTGTGTCCTCACTGATTGTGTGTCCTCACTGATTGTGTGTCATGACTGATTGTGTGTCCTCACTGATTGTGTGTCCTCACTGATTGTGTGTCCTCACTGATTGTGTGTCATGACTGATTGTGTGTCCTCACTGATTGTGTGTCCTCACCGATTGTGTGTCATGACTGATTGTGTGTCCTCACTGATTGTGTGTCCTCACTGATTGTGTGTCCTCACTGATTGTGTGTCATGACTGATTGTGTGTCCTCACTGATTGTGTGTCCTCACTGATTGTGTGTCCTCACTGATTGTGTGTCATGACTGATTGTGTGTCCTCACTGATTGTGTGTCATGACTGATTGTGTGTCCTCACTGATTGTGTGTCATGACTGATTGTGTGTCCTCACTGATTGTGTGTCCTCACTGATTGTGTGTCCTCACCGATTGTGTGTCATGACTGATTGTGTGTCCTCACTGATTGTGTGTCCTCACTGATTGTGTGTCCTCACTGATTGTGTGTCATGACTGATTGTGTGTCCTCACTGATTGTGTGTCCTCACTGATTGTGTGTCCTCACCGATTGTGTGTCATGACTGATTGTGTGTCCTCACTGATTGTGTGTCCTCACTGATTGTGTGTCCTCACTGATTGTGTGTCATGACTGATTGTGTGTCCTCACTGATTGTGTGTCCTCACTGATTGTGTGTCATGACTGATTGTGTGTCCTCACTGATTGTGTGTCCTCACTGATTGTGTGTCCTCTCTGATTGTGTGTCCTCTCTGATTGTGTGTCCTCACTGATTGTGTGTCCTCACTGATTGTGTGTCCTCTCTGATTGTGTGTCCTCACTGATTGTGTGTCATGACTGATTGTGTGTCATGACTGATTGTGTGTCCTCACTGATTGTGTGTCCTCACTGATTGTGTGTCCTCACTGATTGTGTGTCCTCACTGATTGTGTGTCCTCACTGATTGTGTGTCATGACTGATTGTGTGTCATGACTGATTGTGTGTCCTCACTGATTGTGTGTCCTCACTGATTGTGTGTCCTCTCTGATTGTGTGTCCTCACTGATTGTGTGTCATGACTGATTGTGTGTCATGACTGATTGTGTGTCCTCACTGATTGTGTGTCATGACTGATTGTGTGTCCTCACTGATTGTGTGTCATGACTGATTGTGTGTCCTCACTGATTGTGTGTCCTCACTGATTGTGTGTCCTCACTGATTGTGTGTCCTCACCGATTGTGTGTCATGACTGATTGTGTGTCCTCACTGATTGTGTGTCCTCACTGATTGTGTGTCATGACTGATTGTGTGTCCTCACTGATTGTGTGTCCTCACTGATTGTGTGTCCTCACTGATTGTGTGTCCTCTCTGATTGTGTGTCCTCACTGATTGTGTGTCCTCTCTGATTGTGTGTCCTCACTGATTGTGTGTCATGACTGATTGTGTGTCATGACTGATTGTGTGTCCTCACTGATTGTGTGTCATGACTGATTGTGTGTCCTCACTGATTGTGTGTCATGACTGATTGTGTGTCCTCACTGATTGTGTGTCCTCACTGATTGTGTGTCCTCACTGATTGTGTGTCCTCACCGATTGTGTGTCATGACTGATTGTGTGTCCTCACTGATTGTGTGTCCTCACTGATTGTGTGTCATGACTGATTGTGTGTCCTCACTGATTGTGTGTCCTCACCGATTGTGTGTCATGACTGATTGTGTGTCATGACTGATTGTGTGTCCTCGCTGTCATCATCCAGATGTGAATGAGTGTGACCAGAATCCTCTGCTCTGTGCGTTTCGCTGCGTTAACACTTTCGGGGCGTATGAATGCAGCTGTCCGTCCGGTTACACCCTGCGGGAGGATGGACGCATGTGTCAGGGTACGACATATCATCAATCACTGAGTTTGGCGTAACACTTTCCAACCCGTAGCGATCGCTGTATACAAGGCTAACGTTAATGCATATGTGTGTATGAATGTACGCCAGCATCGGTGATGACATCGAGCTCCTCTGTGTTCAGATGTAGACGAGTGTGCAGAGGATCTTCATAACTGTGACTCCAGAGGAATGGAGTGTAACAACTTGATCGGCACCTTCATGTGTGTGTGTCCGGCCGGGATGATCCGCCGGATGAATGAAGAGGTGTGTCAAGGTAAAAACTGATCTGCATTGCTATTCACTTTTACAAACACTCTTGAAGATTATTGAACTGAATCAACACTGAACTGACAATGACACTCTTGTCTTTTTAGAGCTGCTTTACAGCAGAACTGAACTCTGTTCGCATCATTGATCATTGTTCTCCTGTTTATCATGGTTAAGCTGCTTGAAACAGTCTGTATAAAGCACTATAGAAATAAAGGTGACTTGACTTGACTGTTTAAAGTTATCAGTATCACTGTTGTACACTGTATACACTAATAAAGCCATCGACTACTGATCACACTAGACTGGAAAATAATGGGTAACACTTTATTTCGATAGTCTACTTTATACATTCTAACAACTACATATCAGCCTATTCTACTATCCCGAACCATGACACCTAACCACGGGCGTCAGTTTGGTTTGAAATGTGGTGGGGACAGAGACGCATTCGGAAGTGCATTTTCAAAAGTGCTGGGTACAAATTCTGCAGCCTGTTTAACCCGTAAATAAATGCATCGATCCGCAGTTCTTAAATGGTCTGGTGGTAGATCTTTTGCCAAGCGTGTCAGAGGTGACGGGTTCTAATCCGCCCTCGGTATAGTTTTTTTTTCTCTCAAAACTGAATAATGTTCATCAGTGGTTACAGTCTATATCAAGCAGCCAGGGACACGTTTGTGTGCATTTTATTTTGTAATTTCACCGGAATGAATATATACAGAGTCTCTCCGCAACGGCGATAGATTGAAGTGCGCGTCCGAGTGAAGACTGTGCGCGAGCCACAGAGAACACTGTATCCACGACACTGATAGCAGCGGACACGAGCGCTCAGCTTGAGTTAAAAAACAAAACATTTTAGCTAGATCTCTTATTTAAGAGCGAACTAAATGAATGCTCTGCTAGTTAACTGGAGATGTTTTATTTGAATTAGGTACATCCGACCGTGCCTCAATGTTTCCAAGAGTGGTGGGTACAAAATGACTCATGACGAAATCTGGTGGGGACGCGTACCCACCGTCCCCACCGTCCCCACCGAAATCGATGCCTATGCACCTAACCCTAACTCTATTACATTCTACTAATACTCTAATGTGAGTTAGTAGACATGTAGTTGCAAATTTACTTATAGTTGGTAGAATGTCCAAAGTGGAGCATCAAAAAAATAAGTGTTACCAAAAAATTTTTTTCTTTTTATTCATTGTCATTCACCTTTGTTGATCTTGTTCTTCTTTACAGATGAAAATGAATGCTTGACTCAGCCCAGGGTGTGTGAGAACGGCCGGTGTGTGAACACTGTCGGCAGCTACACGTGTGAATGTGGCATTGGGTTCAAAACTGACTCTACAGCGACGAAATGTCTTGGTAAAACCTCTTTCTCGACTCTCTAAGGAAAGTTATGCTGGGGATGGCATCACCCTCGTTGAAAAAAATGACAAAAAGAAATTTAAGCGTAGCATCAGTTCTGGCAGGTCACGTTAGTCAAGCTCACATCAGTGACTATCAGCTGATCCTCTACCTATAGGAATATGACGCCTATCACTGTACTCATATATAAGCTCTTCAGTATTATCAGCTGTTCCTCTACCTATAGGAATATGACGCCTATCACTGTACACATATATAAGCTCTTCAGTATTATCAGCTGATCCTCTACCTATAGGAATCTGACGCCTATAACTGTATACATATATAAGCTCTTCAGTATTATCAGCTGATCCTCTACCTATAGGAATATGACGCCTATCACTGTATACATATATAAGCTCTTCAGTATTATCAGCTGTTCCTCTACCTATAGGAATATGACGCCTATCACTGTACACATATATAAGCTCTTCAGTATTATCAGCTGATCCTCTACCTATAGGAATATGACGCCTATCACTGTATACATATATAAGCTCTTCAGTATTATCAGCTGATCCTCTACCTATAGGAATATGACGCCTATCACTGTACACATATATAAGCTCTTCAGTATTATCAGCTGATCTTCTACCTATAGGAATATGACGCCTATCACTGTACACATATATAAGCTCTTCAGTATTATCAGCTGATCCTCTACCTATAGGAATATGACGCCTATCACTGTACACATATATAAGCTCTTCAGTATTATCAGCTGATCCTCTACCTATAGGAATATGACACCTATCACTGTATACATATATAAGCTCTTCAGTATTATCAGCTGATCCTCTACCTATAGGAATATGACGCCTATCACTGTATACATATATAAGCTCTTCAGTATTATCAGCTGATCCTCTACCTATAGGAATATGACGCCTATCACTGTACATATAAATAAGCTCTTCAGTATTATCAGCTGATCCTCTACCTATAGGAATATGACGCCTATCACTGTACATATAAATAAGCTCTTCAGTATTATCAGCTGATCCTCTACCTATAGGAATATGACGCCTATCACTGTACATATAAATAAGCTCTTCAGTATTATCAGCTGATCCTCTACCTATAGGAATATGACGCCTATCACTGTACACATATATAAGCTCTTCAGTATTATCAGCTGATCCTCTACCTATAGGAATACGACGCCTATCACTGTATACATATATAAGCTCTTCAGTATTATCAGCTGATCCTCTACCTATAGGAATATGACGCCTATCACTGTACATATAAATAAGCTCTTCAGTATTATCAGCTGATCCTCTACCTATAGGAATATGACGCCTATCACTGTACACATATATAAGCTCTTCAGTATTATCAGCTGATCCTCTACCTATAGGAATACGACGCCTATCACTGTATACATATATAAGCTCTTCAGTATTATCAGCTGATCCTCTACCTATAGGAATATGACGCCTATCACTGTACATATAAATAAGCTCTTCAGTATTATCAGCTGATCCTCTACCTATAGGAATATGACGCCTATCACTGTATACATATATAAGCTCTTCAGTATTATCAGCTGTTCCTCTACCTATAGGAATATGACGCCTATCACTGTACACATATATAAGCTCTTCAGTATTATCAGCTGTTCCTCTACCTATAGGAATATGACGCCTATCAATGTACAGTGAGACTGAGACACTTAAGATTATTAAGTCATTACTTATTGAAATAATTGGAATGGAATTGGAATATAATGATACGAATAATTTTGTATTAGTCTGCTTTTACATTTGTGCATATCTATTTTGACATGCCATATTTTCGTCCCATGCTAGCATCACTATGTCAATTGCAATTGTTTATTAAATGTTTATTCACATTTTAATTTTGCAACTGTAAAATTAAAATGTGAAGTTCTCTTACGAGAGGTTCTCTCTTATTGCGTAAGCTAGCTTACGCTACGGGAAAGATTCATCTTTTCTGAGAAATTGAAGCCAAAAATTATCCTATAATTTTGTATCTATTGTCAACGCAGTTCAGCTGCAGCAGAGCATGAGCAGGCTAGCTAGCAGCTCATTGGCTCGCTCACAGGGAACTGCTTAAGCCTATGAGGAGACACGAATGAACTCTCGGCCAATGAGAGTCTGACCTGCTCTCATTGCGTCAGAGCCCGCCGAAACGGGCGTGGCCAGAGAGTATAAATTCGCCTCTCAGGCTGTAAATTCTGATTTTCATCTCTTCAGCGAGGCTACACGCATCTGCTGATCCTGAGAGAAGCCGCCGTCGTGGAAAAGGCACCTTCTAGCGAGCATCTGGGAGTCTGAGGAAGCCAGCCGTCTTCGCCACCTTCAGCCGTCCTGCAAGCTAGCGCCATCCGACGGATTCATATCCTTTACCAAAAGCTTCTTGTTTTGTGTGTGTGTATCTAAAAGAGCCGAGCGTCTTTGTGAAGATGTCTCGTTTTTCCTCCTGCGGTTCTTGCCGCGCTCCCCTCGAGACTGGAGACCGCCACGTCATCTGCGCTCTCTGCCTCGGATTGGAGCACGCCGAGCTCGCCTGCGATCTCTGCGAATGGGCTTCTGTTGTCGACCCTGCGGGCTCGACTCGAAGCGTTACGCCGCCTCCCCCTCTCACCGCCTACGAGCGCTGAATGGGGGACGAGCCGCTTACAGCTGTGCCAACCGCGGCTAGCTTTCTTTACTTTACAAGAGAGCTAGCCCGGCCCCATGCATACGCGTCACCGGCAAGTGGGTTATAGTGCGTTAGTTCCGTCGAGGCCGAACTAGTCGCTGCTATCACGCCCTCTTATCTGCTCGCGCTATTAAGCCTGTGTCTTCCCCCTAGCTCAGTGGTGGAACACAAAGCTTTTCGCGCCAGAGACCCGTGTTCGATTCCGGCTCTCGCAGATAACTTTTTTATGCAGCTCTGAGCTCTCGGCTGGCTTTCTTACGTTACAGAAAGCGGCCGCGCTCTCCCGCCTGCATATAACGCCGCTACATAAAGCGTTTATAGTGTATCAGTTCCGCTGAGGCCGAACCTGTTTCTGCTATCACGCCCTCTTATCTGCCCGCGCTGTTATGTGTGTGTCTTTACCCCTGGCTCAGTGGTGGAACACAAAGCTTTTCGCGCCAGAGATCCGTGTTCGATTCCGGCTCTCGCAGATAATCTTTATACAGCTCTGAGCTCGCGCCCAGCTCTCTTACGTGATAGAAAGCGGCCGCGCTCTCCCGCGCTCATGAGAAACGTTCTCATTTCCGAGCATAAAGCTGGACAAATGGGTTATAGTATGTTAGTTCCACCGAGGCGAACCTGTTACTGCTATCACGCCGTCTTATCTGCTCGCGCTACTGTGCTTGTGTCATTACCCCTGTGGCTCAGTGGTGTATCACAAAGCTTTTCGCGCCAGAGACCCGCGTTCGATTCCGGCTCTCGCAGATAATTTTTATGCCGTCACAAGTCCAGCCTCTGCAGGCTAAAAATAGTCTCGTGCCCGCTTGCAGCGCTCACGTTTCTAACACGCACTTGCACGCGACGCGCGTCACAAGTGCAGCCGTTTTCAGGCTATATATATATCCCGCTGCAGGCCGCTCACGTGACCAGCCTCAGCTGAGAAAAGGACGGCTATTTCTCACCATGGCTGAACCGCCATCAAGGTTTCGCCCTCTGTCAGTCCCCGTTCACACGGCTACTGCAGCAGTGTACACCGCCATCAACAAGCCGGTCTCTTTTCCCGCTTGCATGTGCACAAACGCCGTTTTCACCGCGACCCAGAGAAATAAAAAAAAAAGTGCATAAAAGCCTCTTGTGTAGAAAATGTGCCCACAACACTGTGTTCACTCATACACAAAACACTGCATGTGCACAAACACCGTTTTCACGGCGACCCAGAGATATCTCAAAAAGAGCATAAAAACCTATTGTGTAGAAAATGTGCCCACAACACTGTGTTCACTCATACACAAAAGCATTTCAGTTCCCGTGTGTCTCACAGAGCCCACTCTCATAAAGCGGTTCCAACCCGCTCGAGTTTCAGAGTGCATCGTCCCACCTCTGCTCACTCTGTTACACGGCCCTTAAACTCCTCTCTGAGTGTAAGTCCCGCTGTCATAAACACTATGAGCGCGCCCGCGCGGCCCGCTGTGTGCAGCAACGGGGACCATGTAGCCATTCACCCCTTAGCGTTACGCTTCAAAGCGTGGGAAGCTATTCCGGGAATTTCCCAGTGGGTGCTAAACACAATAAGGCTAGGCTATCGCTTACAGTTTCACCGCCGCCCTCCAGGTTTCCGAGCGCGGCTAGAAACTATTGTGAACCCAGAAGCAGTGACTCTGCTCCGTTCAGAGATAGCAAAACTATTGTGCAAAAGGGCTATAGAGAGAGTTCCTCTATCTATGAGCGAGTCGGGGTTTTACGGCCGTTATTTTCTGGTTCCAAAGAAAGACGGCGGCCTCAGACTAATCTTAGACCTCAGATTTCTGAACAAAGTTCTCATGAAGAGACCGTTCAAAATGCTCACTATCAGAAAATTCCTCGCGCATGTGCACCAGGGGGACTGGTTCATTTCACTAGATCTGAAAGATGCCTACTTTCAGATTCAGATAAATCCCCTTCACAGGCCATTCGTACGTTTCGCCTTCGAAGGCCAGGTTTATCAATACACCGTCCTCCCGTTCGGCCTATCCCTAGCACCCCGCACGTTTACGAGGTGCATGGATGCGGCGCTCGCCCCCCTGCGGAGTCAGGGGCTGCGAATACTGAACTATTTGGACGACTGGCTGATTTTGGCACAATCACAGAGGGGAGCTACTGTCTCATCGTACAGTTCTCCTCGACCGTCTGAAAAGTTTGGGCCTCTCTGTCAACTGGACAAAGAGCGCACTTCAACCCAGTCAGACTATCTCCTTCTTGGGTATAGAGCTAGACTCGGTCTCAATGACGGCTCGTCTGTCTACACAGCGCTCGCGCCGTGTGCAGCGTCTCGC